GACAAGTCTTAGAGAAGCTATCTCAAGCACAACTCTTTTGCAAACTTGAGAAATGTCTTTTCCATATGTCTCAAGTTGATTTCTTAGGACATAGAATTTCAACAGAAGGCATTCAGATGGACCCTGAAAAGACAAAAGCAGTACAAACGTGGCCTATTCCTTCCAGCATTAAAGAGGTTCAGTCTTTCCTTGGGTTTGCCAACTATTACAGGAGGTTTATACCAAGATATACATCCTTGGCTTTACCCCTTACTCAATTACTTCACAAGGACACTTTGTATCACTGGGATAAGACACAGCAAGATGCTTTCGATGCTCTTAAAGGAGAATTTAAAGAAGGGAAAATGTTACTACACTTTAACCCCTTGAAACCTGCCACTCTTGAGACAGATGCCTCAGATTTTGCCATTTCTGGAATCTTATACCAAGCTCCAAAAGACAAACAAGAAGAGCTACAGCCTGTGGCATTTTACTCAAGAAAGCTATCAGCAGCCGAACAAAACTATCCCATTACAGACAAGGAACTGCTTGCCATAGTATGTTCTCTAAAGCATTGGAGATGCTACCTTGAAGGGGCAAACTATCCTATCACTATTTACAGTGACCATTTAAATCTCTTGACCTTTACAACCACTAAACAGCTCAATCGACGACAAGCAAGGTGGTCTGAACAACTAGGAGGTTTTGACTTTGTTATAAAACATGTCTCAGGGGCCAAGAATCAAAGAGCAGATCTCCTCTCAAGAAGACATGACTACCAAGATTCTGCTAAAACTAGCAATACAAAGGCTCTGCTAGACTCAGCAAAGCTTATAGCAGCATCTTTAAGCAACCCTAGTACTACAGAGGACTTAGGGGTAAACTTATCCCCTCAAGACCAAGTTGCCCCCATTACCTCTTCTCAGGAACCAGAGACCTTTAAAGACTATACACCCTCAGCAACACTTCTTAAAGCATTCAAAGATGCTTACAACCATGATCCCTTTGCGAAAAGAACTTTGGAATACCTCCAGAAGAAAGGTTCCTCTCTTGAGAAAGTTGGACTACAGAATTTCTCAAAAAATCAGCATGGACTTCTCTTATTCAAGAACTATATCTATGTCCCAAGGGATAAACGATTACAGCTACACCTCCTACAGCAGTTCCATGATGCTCCAGCTGCAGGGCACTTTGGCTTTGCAAAAACTTATGAACTTCTAACAAGAAAGTTCTACTGGCCTAGTCTAAGGACTACTCTTCAAGACTATATATCTTCTTGCACTACTTGCAACTTGAACAAACCTACACGGCAAAAGCCCTATGGCCTCTTGCAGCCTCTACCTATACCAGAATGCCCATGGGACTCCATATCCATTGACTTTATAGTCAAGTTGCCTCCTTCTATCCCAAAAGGGGGTGCTACCCCTTATGACTCTATCCTTGTGGTGGTAGAAAGGCTCACAAAAATGGCACACTTTGAGCCTTGCAATGAGACTATCACAGCTTCTGAACTTGCGTGGCTATTCCTCAAGGTGGTCTTTAAATATCATGGAATTCCTGGACATTGGATCTCAGATAGGGGAGCAGTTTTCACTTCAAACTTTTTTAAGGAGTTCTCTAAACTCTTAAACATGGAACAACGCTTCTCTACAGCTTATCACCCTCAAACAGATGGCCAGACAGAGAGAGTCAACTCTGTACTTGAACAATATCTAAGAATTTATACAAACTATGCTCAAGACAACTGGGCAGATCTTCTCCATCTTGCAGAATTTGTTACTGTATTGCCTGCTTGCCCTTTCTTAAGGAAAGGGCAATCCTATTTATGCCAAAGGAGTGTAGTTCTCTCATTTTCCATGACTTTCCATGACTAACCAGGCTTGGTAAATGTATTAGAAATCAAGTGCGACCCACAACTAGCTTGCTAATCATGTAGCGAATGTAAGAGAATCCCATAGAACCATCTCTTGGGTTCCTAGCCTATAGGAAGTGAAAAGGAGGTCCAAGGTCAGAGTACCTATAGATAAATTATGTCATAACTTAACCAATCTTGTGGGTAACTAAGGAGCGATGACGTGTAATGAATCATAGAGGGTTGTAGAAGCTTCTAGAGCTATCGTTCATGTTCCTAGGCCTCTAGTTGGTAGAGATATGCCATGTGGTAGTATTGGCCCACCCCCTTAAGGAGGAGATTTTCTTAATAACTTGTTCAATGAGTGTCCAAATGATATGCCGTGATGTATGTAGCATAAACAGATGTAGTAGAAGAGTTTACAGCAATCGTTGAGTAGTATTGCTTCTGTTGTTGATGTGATAAGCCAAGATATGTATGTTGACTTGTAAGTTTGAGGAGGAGATTTCTAAGTTTGCTCTTGAGTTTGATAGCAAACTGAGTGCAACGAATGTCAGTATGACAACAGTGCGGACGTGTTGCGGATGCTCTTCCTTGCACTTCGAATAGATCAAGACGTCGTCAAGGTAGACAATGCACATCACATCTACAAGGCCTGCGAGCGCTTCATTGATATACGCCTGGAATGATGCGGGGGCGTTGCACAGCCCAAACGGCATCACTAAATATTCGAACAGGCCGTACCTTGTTCGGAAGGCAGTTTTCCACTCATCCCCCTTTCGGATTCTCATACGCTGGTACGCATCCTTTGCGTCAAGCTTCGTGAACACTGCGGCCCCGCTTAGGCGGTCGAGTATTTCCGAAATAAGAGGGATTGGGTGTCGATTCTTCACTGTCATGGCGTTAAGCCCTCGATAATCGACACATAGGCGCTTCGAGCCATCTGGCTTTGGGACGAAAAGGATGGGCGCTCCAGGTGGGCTCGTCAAGTGACGGATCCAGCCCCTCTGAAGCGAATCCTCAATGTAACCCCTAAGCGTCGCCAACTCCTTCTCTGAGAGGCTGTAGATTGGTCCCCACGGGGGTTGCTTTCCCTCCTCAATATCTATGGCATGCTCTGCCCTCTTTGAGTATTCTGGGAGCGACGCTGCCCCTTCATCGTCAAAGACGTCCTCAAAAGATTGGTATTCTCTTGGAACTGTTGGTGTAGGTCGGGGTTCCTGGGGGTCGTCCATCCGGTGTAGCATTGCTACATACACTGGTCCGCCTTTCCCCCGCAGCTCTTCCGCTTCCTCGTTTGAGAGATATTGGATGTTGTCGGTAGGGAATCGCCATGTCCCTCGCGTCCAATTAATCACTAGGTTTTCGCGGAGAAGCCATGGATACCCTAACATGAGGTCGTATTCCTCCATGGCCGTAGACGCAAAGAGGTGTTCTCTTTCTTGCGTCTTGCCCCCATCGTCCTTGATGCGGAGGGTGAGCTGGGACTTCCCAAAGAGAGGTATTTCCTGGCTTCCTACACCCCTTGCTGTGGTGTAGCTTGGTTCCCACACTCCCCCGAGCTCTTTTGCCACTAAGTGGGATATGAGGTTGGCGGTTGTGCCGCTGTCAACGAGCGCGCGAAGGGGTCGCCACGCTTCCACTCCTCGTACGTCGACGAGAATCGACAGGCTGTTCTTCCCCTGGGTAACCGCTCCATCCATCGGGATTTGGATAGAGGGCCCTAGTTTTTTGGTTGCAGGATGCCTTTTAGCTGGCTCCCCTGCTGTACCGCTCGGATGCGCTGCGCACCCTCGCCGTTCCTTAAGAAACACTGAGCGGTGCGGTGTCCCTCCTTTCCACAATGGAAACAGAGGTTGTTGTCCCTTCGCCGCTTCTCTTCCTCATCTGAGAGACGTGAGCGCTTCACTCCCGCTCTTTCTCTGCTTCGACTTCCCTGGTGGGGGTGCGAACCCCTCTTGTGAGGATTCTCCCCCCTCTTTTCTTCCTTGTGGTCCTTCTGACCCCCCTTTTCCTGGCCCTTTGGTAGGTTGGCTTGTTCAAACCGGGAGGCGAGCGCTATAAGGGCGCTTCGCGTCCGCGGAATCTCAGGATAAGTGATTATCCTCAAGCGTAGATCGGGCCGGAGCTTTGCGAGGAAGTGCTGAACTCGATGTTCTTCACTGTATGCCTTCAACTCCCCCTCTAACGTCTCGAGGTAGGTCGCAAAGGTTTGCGCAGACTGTCCGGGTCGCTGGCGCGCCTCCTCGTATTTGATCGCTGTCGAGAGGCCCCGATTAACTGGATCCTCAACGAGGTCAAGAAGGAACTTCTTGAACCCCTTCCAAGTCTTCTGGAAGTCAGGTTCCTTCTCGTGTCGAAGCCATGCGCTCGAGGTTCGCCCTCGAGCCACGTTGCCGCCAAGTCACAGCGGAGCTCGTCTGATTTATTCAGACTTGGCTCTAACCGAAAGCTTAACTCGCAGCTTGTGACGAATTCTGAGTGCTCTCTGACCGTTCTTCCCTTGTATGGCGCGATCTGCCGGGGTCTTATGCTCTTCGGCAGTCCCCCATAAAAGACGGAGCTGGATGATGCGACACTTGGGTCGTCGACGGGGAGGCCTGGCGGTAGAACTTCCGCAACGTCCCCGTCTTCCAACTGCTTCCTTAGCCGCTCAATTCGCTCGGCCGCCTCCTTGAGCTGGAGCTTCGCAAGGAGTTCTTCCTCGATGGCCTGGGCAGTTGCTAGCTGGTCCTCGATCCCTTGCTGACTTTCAGCTGGCGGCAGAGACGCTGCTTCGCGACTGCCACTCCCTTCGGTGTCTGCGGTCTGAGTGCGGGTGCGTGGCGGCATGGGTTCGGCTTCTCTTTTGACTTCCCTCACTGGGCTACTCTTCCTAATCGTAGGAATGGTGGAGCGTTCAGAATGTAAAGGACTTCTTGGCGAGTAGGGCAGTGGGAAGTCACGGGAAGGAATATACGTAGAATCCTGGTCTATTGATACGAAGACTGAACGCTGACCTTCCTCCGAAGGTCCGCGTTCCTACTATATAGTTCTACGTGTCCTGTCCGGACCGACATGCCTCCGTCTTGGCACTGAAGGGCACGTGAGTATTGCCCGCACGTGATTCGGTTCGTGACACCACCTGTCTCGGTGACCCCCCACGACTCTTTGATGATACTTATCCATACTCCTTGTTACCATCGCATGATACAAGTGACATTCGCCCAACATGACGAGCCTCAACTCCGATGAAATGCGCGCCATTGACCAGACACGAACGCGACTGGATCAGCTAACCAAGAGCATTGGCGCCCTCAAGAACGACATATTACGATCTCCAGTTATGCCACCAATGTACGAATACCCCCACTACCCCATTCGAAAGATGGGAAGTCCAATTAGGATAGAAGCTGACAATACATCCATAGAGACTCGATCCAAGTACACTCCACAATCCTCGCCCAAAGCCTCAAAAACATCACCAACCACCTCTGCAAACACTCCGACCTCTTCTCACAAACGGTCGTCTACCCCTCCACCAACTTCCCCGGCCGGACCCAGGAAGGTCTAGTCGGGCAACTACTACGCAAGAAGCTCGAGCCGAGCGCCGAGAGCTGGGTCGAGGAAGGGCGCGCACTGGGAAAAACAGAGAACGTGGGGGGAGGACAAGACGAGAACCTCGATGAGCTGTGGAGCTTCGCAAAGGAATACGTGTTACCTCAGGTTGCGAAGGCGGCGCAGCTGAGTAGGTCTTCACTGGATGATATATATGCCGAGAGCGACGAGGAGGAAGAAGAGGCGGAGGAGGAAGGGGAGGAGGAAGGTGGTGAGAAAAAACATGCTTATGGTGATGGTGGGAGTCGGAATCCGGCGGGGATCTCAAGAGATCTCAATGCTATTACGCGGTTTATGACGACGGGTACGGCGACTGGCAACTGAATCCTGGATGTGGAATTCATGGTGTCAGATGTTCAATATGGGAACCACGTTGAAGGCGCTGCGCTTCCCTGTTATATCTTGAAGGTAGCCACTCACTGAAACGCGGCAACTCACCTTTATACCAGTGGCTAGTATCGAGGGATGGTGGTCTATGAGAAGGCTCTGATGAAAAAGGAGGTGTTGAAGGCCTCACATCTATACCCCAAAGGGTCGATCCCATCAACAACGCTGCAATAGTCATGGATTGCGGTCGTTCCTGCGAGCGTGATAGACAATGCTGGGCGAAGTCCTCTTGTTGGGCTTTACGGATCGTTTTAATATCTCAATTTTAGGCGGAACCAAGGAGGATATAGGCTGTGCGGAGGCGACGGCTTCGACTAAAGACAGCGAAGCAGTCGTACGGACGAAGTTTTCTTTTGTCTCGCCCAACTAAAATATAATACCGAAGCAAGAAGCATAAATAAATAAAAACATACAACAGTTGTTATTCGCTAGTTATCACCCGTATGTGACAGTTATGGAGCTGTAGTGGTATAAATATCGTCGCGGGCGACGAAAATGCGGAGTGACAAAGAGGTAGATAGGAGAAAAGTTATGTACAACGTGGGAACCCCAAGGACTGAAGCAGTAGTCACAGTCCCCCAGTTGTTAAACCGCAAATCATCGGGCACTAGCGCTTATATGCTCAGCACCTCCGTCTCTAACCCATCCCATGGCCATGCCTCTCCTCAAAGATCTCGTCCCACTTCAGCTCCTCCACCCACTTCGGCTCTTCCGCTGTCGAGTCCACACTTCTCTCCCCATCGCTGCCGACCCAATTCACTTCGTCATGCTCCTCGCGATCCATGGCATCGATCTTCTTCAGCGAAGACGGGAACACCCTATTTCTTATAAACCCCCTTAGCTTATGTTTCCCCGGAAACATAATCTTCTGCATCATATACGAGCGCTGCCGCTCGACCTCGCGCCGCGCAATGTTCTCTCTCACATAGTCATCCAGAGCGGCCGACTGGCGCCGCTCGCGCCTGTACGCCGGTGATGTGACACGGTCCGCGAGGGCGACGGCGTCCATTATTGCGCAGTTCGCACCGCGGCTGAGGGTGTTGCTCATGTTGAAAACGGCGTCGCCAAGGAGGGTGATATTAGGGGAGGAGGTCCAGGGCTGGACGGCCTCGCTTTTGCGGACGATGTTCACGTAGGCTGTGTCAAGGCAGATCATCTTGGCGAGCTCGCGAAAGCGAGGGTGGATGCCCGGCTGGGAAGTGCGCGCGAGCACCTCGGCTTGTAGCTCGGAGTGGGTGAGTTCGTTAGGGGAGCAGCGGCGGTTGTGGAAGTTGGCGTAGGGGGACCCAGCGCCGAGCATGATGTAGGAGTCTTCGGGATCGATGGTGTGCTGGTTGTAGCGTGTGGAAAAGGGGGCGAGGGGATTCTGCCAGGGGGCGAGCATGATATATTGATTGTTTGGGCAGAAGGTATACGTAAGAGTTAGCTTTAGGACCATACAGATGGGCGTAGTAGGACGGGAAGTTTTACCATTGATCTGCCGGGGGACCCTGATAACTTCAAGGACCTTTCCGTAAGCGGGACCTTGAAATAAATGACTGCCACGCCCAGGTCCTCAATGGTGGCATGGTTGATCAACTGCTTTCGAACATTCGAGTTCGTGCCGTCTGCACCTACTAAGAGGTCACACTCGTCGGTACTCCCGTCAGCGAAAAATGCTCTCACTCTTCCTTTCGGCAGCACCTCATAGCGCTCGAAGCAAATACCTGTCCGAACAAAGGGAGCCTGCTTCACGAGGGCTTCTCTCAGGTGCCACCTCGACACGGAGAACTGGTCCTTCGTGGGGTCCGAGTCCCAGGTGAGCATCTTGTTGCCATTTGCCTTGAAAAACTCGATCTTCTCCCCTCCCTCCGGCTGCTCCCCGATGCCGAAGGCGAGGTCTGCCCAGATGTCGCTCTTCAGTTTGCGCTTCAGCATCGACAGCGTGCTGCCTGACAGCATCACGCGGAACCCGACAACGCGGTCATCGATAGCTCTGTACCGCTCGTAGCATGCTAGCCGTATTCCCGGTGCTGAGTGGAGTATCTGTGCGAGGGCGAGACCTCCGATACCAGCGCCGATGATGATAACCTTCAATGAGTCGACGTCGTTAGATGTGGTGCATGGCATCTCGGATTTGGGATCTGCTCCGTCAGGAATAGTCTTATCACCCTGGTCTAGAAAAGCTGCTAAGGCCCTTTGTAATGGCAACATTAGATGTAGGGAAGGAAAATGTCCTTGGCCTTCTGTGTGGTTTTAATATCGTGTCCTGTGGCGATTCTTAGTTAAAAACCTTAGTGTTTACCTATATCCCGTGGCAAATATGATGCAGGTATAGAAGTCGTTAATATGATAAAAATGTAGAGTGGCCTAGGTCCTGGTCTAGAGTGACATGATTTCGAGCTGTAGAGCTGCACATCAGGTCGTCATCCCGCAATTTTATTCTGCTAATCAATCCGTTATCAACAGTCGCGCTACGTATTAACTCCTTATCAATTCTATGCTAAATAGTCGCCTAGTCCGAATTATTCACATCTTGTTAAAGACTGCACAGTTTCTTCGCTAAGTAGGTCCCTGCGTTTTCGGTTCTGGCAATCGGCGACTAAAAAATCCTTCTACTCCCCACATCTTGATTGGTCCTCCTCCTCTGGTAACATAGCGTCATATTGTGTAGGGAAGTTCCCTGACACTGTCAGGCTAGAGAAATTCTGACAGTGTACGTCTTGAGGAAGGCGTCATCAGCCACCCTTGCGTCTCCGGGCCTCTCATTCTCGGAATGCGCTGTTTTGCAAGCGTTAGGTCGATGTCGAACTGGCTTATAAGATGCGGAAGCGTTGCTGGGAAAACAGGATCGGGATTGGGGAGAGGCCGAGATCCCCACTATAGAGCCGGCTCTTGGTAACTTGCTCACTAGGGCAAGTGAAAACTCTGCACTGAGAACAGTGGGTAAGTCGGAGGTTTCGGGGGTTATATAGGGCCCTCAGAAGCCTATAAATCACTACGTAGGCCTATTAGAATAGGTAGGATGATTGAATTGATTACTGCATTATATATACTATATGCTGTGGATCGCCGTGTCTCGCCCCCAACAACCGTGCGAGTGCCGCCAATGGTGCTGATGTCGAGGAACTTGCATTTCAAATCGGCAGCGATCCATATGTTCAGCTCGCGACGACATACCAACCCTAGGTTGTTTAGCTATATCTTAATGACGTACAACACGAAACACACTCACCTCGCCTGTGCCATTCTTGTGGAAGGTGAGTCGTGTTGGCGTTGATCGGGGAACGCGCGCGCACGGGTCTACCGCCGTTTTCGAGCTTGCTGGCCACTTAACGAAGGGCGCAGTAGCGTTTGGCAGAGCTAGTCAGGCAGAGAAACTGAGTCATCGTTGTCCCTCGGAGACAACCTTGGATGGTGTTTGATCTCTTGGTTGAAATTCGGGAGCATGACGAGGTTATCCGTCGTTTGCGAGACTTTGCATAGTGGTGGGGCACAATGCCATGTGATTTGCGGTCCTGACCAAGTTAGGCTCCAATACAATAGCGTAGTTGAAGCAATCCGATGCTCCTGTCTCGAAAAGCACCGCAATCCTACACGACACAATATCTTACAGTTACAGTTACAGTTTATATTAAGCCACACCCTACATGGTGGGCCTCCATGGCCCGTCTCGACTCCTTAAGCTCATGTGCCCCCAGGTCTCGAACCTGGGATACCTCGACATGCGTGACACGCAGCATATATACTGACGTGAACCATTCATCTTGCAGGAGTTCTTGGTCTGTGGGATCAGCTTCATAATCTTAAGTATGAACGCCTTATTCTCCCTCGAAATCTCTTGCTCAGTAATGCGTGCGAAGGGCTTCACATTTTCTCATGGTACGCCGTGCATGACGTGGGCGAGAATTCCTAACGTCTCATTGTCTGCAATCTCCTTATACGATAGCAGAAATGGTCGAAAAAACTGATGCTACCTCATGAGAATATCCAACTTGTATTCTTCATGTCCAGCTGGAACGTCTGGTTAAAGACGAACCAGTTCCCACCCCAAATTAGGGTGATGAGCTACGCATGGATGAGATTATCAGTGCTGAACCCAAAAAGTGACGGAAAGGGCTGACATAATGCACGTACCATGGCGCCGAAAGACCAAATGTTTGTAGGGGTACCCCATCGACGGACGTGCTCTGCACTGCCAAGTGCAGTAATGTCTGGTCTTTCTTATTCGCAGGTGACATATCCGCTCCTTGAGCGAGAAGTCCCTCTGCTGCATATCCTGATTCGCGTCTGCTGGGAGTGGGGACTCTGAAATTGGTGCGTTGATAATCGATTTATCGAAGCGGTTCTGCTGGGGAATACATACTCGAATACTTTCGTTGCACCGGGGAGCGAGAGGAACAATCATCCAGCACGATTCTATCTACGGATTCTCCACAGAATATCCGGCCTCAAATAAATGTCGCAACTCTTGCTCATACTTTTTTTTTTCCAAAAGTTTTGCAGCTACAATCTCCCGCGCATCAGGAGCCCAGTAAGCCGATACCATTTTTGCAAATCTGTTATCCCGTCGCGGCTCAAATATTGGCTGTATATGTTGGACGAAAAGGTTGTATAGGCCTTTAGGGCTTTTTAGCGCGTGGAAATACCAGAAGTTTCCGATCTTCCAGCCTCTTCTCATGATGTCTGCGCGGTATCCTGCACTGCCGTACACAGATGGAAATGATTTCTCTTTTTCTTCGAATATGTCCATGAATTCTTGGCATGCGCTCTCAAACTTTTGAAGCTCTTCACCTTTGAACTCGTCCACGCCACGGTTGGTTATCCAATATGGCGGAGCTAGCATCTCTATAGGAAGCGAGCATGCCCACTCGAGATCGATGATGTATTTAATGTGCCAGTTGCTGTCCACAAAGATGTTGCCTCGATGTAGGTCAGTGAGATTAAAAACAAATGGCCCATGCCGAAGGTCTCGGCTTGTGAAGTAGGAAAGAAGTCCTCGCATTGTGAATAGGTTTGCCATCTGTGAAAAGCCATCTTCCTCGCTGATTATAGAGTTGGGCTGGTTTCGTATGCGGCTATCATGACATGCCAAGAGATCAGTGTAGTACGCATCTGTAGTCGTGTAGGTTGAATGTCTCGGTATGTTGGTCAAAATGCCTTCGTTTTCGAGGGAATGGAAATGATGAGCCAAGGGTCGATTTGTTAGCATAAGCACCCCTCGTTCGTCTATTGTCCAGGACCCAATACGAGGCAAAGGCAACTGACTTAAGGTAAGCATGATGTGAGATAAATCTTTAAAGAAGTTGGATCTCAGGTCACGATTGTGGCGGAGTTCGTCCCAGGATTCGGAAAGCAATTCTGCATCTGTAGTCTCGATATAGTCCATAATCAGATATCCATGGTCTAGAATGCCTTGACGGCTATGGCTTATATATCGACAAGGTAGGGTAGATGTAAAGAACCATGTTAAGGCACGTCGAATGTGCCAAGCCGTTCTCGTCCTCCAAGATGTATTTTCGGGCTTCGTAAACTATGTCATCGCATAAATTAGCATATGCTATAAAATTCAGCATGGGGATTTTTACACTCTGACCACCTGGAAATCCAAATCCCCATAAGAACGGTATTGGGACATCTGAGCAGTTTTCTTGAATCCAGATGAAGGCAGCGGCTTCGGTGCGGAGTTTCTCGTCTGAATTGCCGGGACATGTTGACTCTCCAACTTTGTAGGGCAGCGGTAGCCGAAGTAGCACCCGTTTCCTTGGATACTTCCTCCAATTATCAATGTATATCGGTATACAAACATTGAAGCTGCCGTGTTTCCACTCCTTGAAATCTCCAAATCGGCATGTTTCGCTTTTCGCAAGGGAGAGATGGAGTGATACGAGAGCCTTGAAGTCTTCGCGATGCTCGTAGATCCAAAAAAAAAAGTCCTCGCGTTGACTGGAATATGCTAATGGAAAGAGCACATTGTCCTCCTCATCGAGAGCTTCTGCCAATGTCATCTTCCCATACAGCAGTGGTAGGGTGACCGAAACGTTTGACGGGTGCTCAAACCCAGGAAGCGCCGATTCTGATTTTGGCGTAGCTTCATCTTCTCTGTTGAGGCTGCAACGGTCGTTATGAGGCAGTGATACTGTAGAAGGCATATTTTTGTCGTTCATAGTTGCCATCAAATCGGAGTACAGGGGATAGGATTTGAGGGTTTGTTTAGTTCCATCATACTAAACTAGCGTATCGCTATATCCACCCCATGCTCAAGCTGGAATCTGACTAATCATTTTGAAGTGGGTGCACCTCCCATCTTCGTCACCAACTACTGACATCTCCATCTCTGTCACTAACTAGTATCCCCTCCGCGCCCTCGCGGCGTCTCCAGTGCTTGACAACTGGCGAACGGTTGTCTGATCAGTAAGCGCTTTCGTGATGTCAGCCTTGGTCTTGCGATCGGCCTCAGCTTTCTTCGCTGCTTCGGCTTGAGCCGCCGCTTGCGCGGGTTGGGGTTCCTGCTCGTTGGGCATTTTAAGGTCTGCATATGGCTATTGTTTAGCTCCAAAAGCAAAGCATGAAGTCTGCCACACATACTTCGAGATTCAGAGTAAAAGATTGAAGAGTGCTCTGATGGAAGAACGTGAAGATTGAAGACTGCTGGTCGGATATTTTACTTGACAAGTCGTGAGTTAGAAAGAGCCTATTTATGCCTGCGGCGGATAATCGATTGAAGGGTTGGTGAAAGCAATATTGGGCGCTGATGGATTAGTGGAACGGTTGGGACCGGATACGTCCGCTGCCACGTCACTCCCACATGCGATCTAGCAAGTTTATGGCCTTACCTACGAAGGCTGTTTAAACAAGCACTCTGATTGCGTCCACAGTTTCTACATGGTCGTGCATGGTTGCAAAACTGTCGTATTGATTGATTGGTTGATTGATTGGTTGATTGATTGATACCACTAGATTTGGCGTGGGGCCCACCATGGTGCCTTGAGAAGATTGGCCAATTGTCGTCAGGAGCGACGAGACTGGATACGTGACAACTAATCCATCGCCCTACGAATGCACTGAAGCGAAATCTTCCCGTCCTCGAGCAGATACCCTCAATCCGACGGCCAGACCGAGAGGCAGAATCAGAATATCGAAGCCTACTTGCAGATCCACTGTAATCAGCACCAAGACAACTGGGTGGAACTCCTCCACTTCGCGGAATTGACCTACAATAACGCCTTCCACGATTCCATCCAGATGTCGCCAAACCAGGCCCGATACGGCATCAATATAGACCTAAGACAAGGGATCGAGGATGACCCCACCAGAAGGGAAGTGCCAGTCGCGAAAGATCGCATCAACCTGATCCTAGAATTGCGACAGGAGCTCGAAGAGGCGTGGAAACAGACGAAGGAAGCCCAAATACGAGGCTACAACAAGCTGCACAAGCCAATGCAGTACGTGGTAGGAGAGAAAGTATGGCTTTCAGCCAAGAATATCAGAACCACCCAGCCAAGTAGGAAGCTTGGGCACTGCTGGCTTGGCCCGTATGAGATTACCCAGCGCATCGGTAAGCAGGCTTACCAGTTGAAGCTACCGCCAAGGTATAAGGGGATTCACAACGTGTTCCACGTGTCCTTACTAGAAAGGTATTGGAAAAACACAGAGGAACCCAACCCTCCACCTAGCCCAGAAATTGTGGACGGTGAGGAAGAATACCAAGTAGAAGCGGTCCTAGACTGTAATGGTGGGTGCACCAGATGTGAGAATCTAGCCACCCCAAGGAAGGGATGAATTTACTAAGACAACACACTGTCTTAGAAAACAGAGCCAAAGGGTTGTAGCTTAGACTATTCCACAACGCAGCAATCAGGTGTGTGATGTAGTGAAGTGGTTCAGACAAGTTGCAACAAATGTTGAGTCTGGGAACTCAGGGGTAAGTCAGAGGTTAACACCTCACTGACTTTTCAGAAACAAGGAGTAACAAGATGAATGCTTGGAAGCTTGGAAAAGACGTGGAAGTATGTGATAGTCGATTTACTGTATTGTCTGCTTGCCCTTTCTTAAGGAAAGGGCAATCCTATTTATGCTAAAGGAGTGTAGTTCTCTCATTTTCCAAGACTTTCCATGACTTACCAGGCTTGGTAACTGAGTCGACGTAAGAGAATCCCATAGAACCATCTCTTAGGTTCGTAGCCTATAGGAAGTAAAAGGAGGTCCAAGGTCAGAGTACCCCTATAGACAAATTATGTCATAGACAAATTATGTCATAGACAAATTATGTCATAACTTAACCAATCTTGTGGGTAACTAAAGAGCGATGACATGTAATGAATCATAGAGGTTCATAGGAGCTTTTAGAGTTATCGTTCATGCTCCTAGGCCTCTAGTTGGTAGAGATATGTCATGTGGTAGTATGAGTGATGTCATGTAATGAATCATAGAGGGTTGTAGAGATATGCTATGTGGTAATATCGGCCCAGTAACTAAGGAGCAATGACATGTAATGAATCATAGATGGTTGTAGCAATCGTTGAGTAGTATTGCTCTTGTTGTTGGTGTGATAAGCCAAAATATGTATAGTGACTTGTAGGTTTGAGGAGAAGATTTCCAAGTTTGCTCTTGAGTTTGATAGCAAACTGAGTGCAACGAATGTCAGTATGACATAGACCACAGGATAATCAAACGAGGCAGGGGCCAGAGAGAGGAATACCTTATTAGATGGGCTGGTTATACAGCCGCAGACGACCAATGGGTGCCAAAACATGACGTAGGGCTACCGTTAATCGAGGCATATCACAGGAAGCATGCACAAGGAAGCAAGGATGGGACAACGTAATGGTATTGGCCCTACAAACTATGGGAACGATCAATCAGAACCCTGGTCCTCAGATGAGGACGACGACGAGGACTCGGACTCAGGAACGACGGAGCCTTCGAGATCCTCAGCTTCGTCCTCGACTTCAGGCGAATGATACGGATGGACAGTGCGAGAACGTGATGTGGAGGAGGCGACAACAGAAGGAACAGGCATGGCGGGCGCCTGCGACTCGGGAGAGCTGGACATCTGGGCCGCTGGTCGCTTGCGAGGTGTAGTAACTGGAGCCTTCCCCTTCGGCTTGGGAGCCATGATGAGGGTTGGACGATGTGAGATCTATCCGTAACGATAAGCTCCTGCAATCCAGGTGGAAAGGAAGTGATTACCTTAAAGAAACAAGCAACTGTGTAGGCCCCAAAGGTTGGGACTAAGATTGAGGGCGAAAGGCGAAGTAAGGTGATGTTGAGGATGAAGGTGGCAGGAAGTTCGATAGGAAGTTTGGAAGGAAGTAGGAGTTTGGCGCGAGACCCATAACAAAGGGGGTGGCCGCGGCAACACATAACAAGGGGGGTCACAAGACCAGCCTACCAAGCGCGCACCCAAACAAGCCCACCACCTGGGGCAAAACGAAAGTCCAAACAAGCCAGGAGGGTACCAAGCCCTACCTGCGAACCTGGGAATTGAGTGCAATTCCCCTAAGAGGGGGGGTAATTGTAAGGCAGGGCCGTCACGTGCCCTCACGTGGACGACCCAAGGCGTTGCCCTACTGTGGAGAAACCCTGGTTTACCGAGGGCAAGGGGGTTCCTGGATAAAAGGGGCTGGAGACCTCGGAAGGAGGCCTCCAGTCAATAGTCGCTGTATATATGTAGACCTATTGTGCTTACTGAATACGATACCTTCCTGCCTCCTGACCTGGTTCCCTGGACTCCCGTGAGACCTTGGGCTTACGCTTTACAGTAGGTGACGATGAGCACATTGCAGAGAATCACTTTCGTCATGCAGAGATATCTATTACACAGTGTCCCAAATAAAACTCAAATACTGTAAAATAGATCCTAGAAAATACTGTATCCTTTCATTCTTAATTAAGACTTCTGTTCCTCCCGCTGAAATCTTTCAACGTTGCTCACAAATTGCAGTGCAATGCCTGGTTTCACCCCATGCTTCACCATTAGTTCGGCGACTACCTTTGGGTGCTGCAGAATAGTGTTTAATTCTAGGAACTGATCCATTGCAACCTTATTCGCAATCTGCAGCGCACTTCGCCATCTGTCGCTCTCAACTTGTGTCAGGCCCCAGGTACAGTACTCCTCAAGTTTAGCATGTCTATCCCCTTCTACGTCCCTGGTATTGCAACCCTCACTATGGGCTGAGGCACGGGTTTTACAATGACGACAGTCAGTTAAGCCATCTGCTTTCTGCTTGCGGCTATTATCCAATATGTTTTTGAGAATACTAGACGGAATCTTGATGTCAATATCGACATCCTCTTCTGTCTCCCCTTCCTTCATGTTGTCTTTGATATGACGGACAATCTCCTCTAGCTGGCCTGGCAGCAGTCTATGATGGTTTCCACGTTCGTCTGACCAGCAGTGAGGTCCTTGCTTGCAGTATTTGCCTCTGCAACGGTAATGCTCGTATATTCGGGTCCAAAGACCAGCGTCAGCGGCTCTCTGGAGCTTTTGGGCTTCTGTAGCGCTTTTCTTCTTTTTCTTGCCCTTTGCCATTGTAGAATCACAAGTAACCTCCTTATAAACAAACTCCATGCTGAAAGCTATCTTCCTCCCCTTGCTAAACAAGTCACTGAGGCTTTCTAGGTGGTTGTCAAGCTCCTGCCAGTTGATGGCGAGCTTCTTGTATCATTTCGTTAGGCTGCGCTGACGGCTCCGCTCGATAGATATTTCGATAATCGTTTCGTCACACGTATAAATATCTCCTGGGAACTTACCCTCGTCTTTCATTTCTTTCATAAGGCTTTCGAGTTGTGCCTGGAATTTAACCTTCCAAAAATCGCTGGGAGCCAAGACGAGATCAGGATCTGTGTCTGAACAAACATTCCTAGCTCTGATATTCTCACGTTGGGAGATTTTCCACTGAAAGTCATAGTGGATGCAAATGGGGTTGTTCTTGTCATACTGCTTGTCGCTTTTCCAACCACTGAGTCGGAGAAGTGGTAGCGCACGTTCACCACTTGGCTGGTCGACTCGTTCGGCGGCTGGGCTGGCTCTGGGGCTGCCAGAAGTCGAAGCCACGGGGGTACTAATATTTAAAGCATAATCGCCATTTAGCCAGTCAAAATCGATGCTTTCCATGATAGCGTGGCTTCTGAGTCGACAAATATTGAGGCGAGAAGGCAAGATCGTTGCCACATTGCTTGTCGCCTGTCGTCGGCAAGAGGACACCACGTGGCCATTCCCTCGGGAGTTTCTACTGGTTTCTACGGGCTTCCATGAGAGTCCCTCTACAGAACCACAAAATACTTCAGTAACTATTTTATCTGGACTGTGAACGAAGCTCACAGTCCGATATGACGATTAGGTAATTCATCGCAGACATGTGCAGTGGATCCAATGGCCAAAGCGGATAATGCGCACTGTCAATCCACAGCGGTGCGGGCCGGAGTCCCTCCCTTAATTGCCACAGGTGTGGCAGAGTGTTGGCAGGGGTGGATGTAAAAGGATTAAGATTACCGTGATGTGGGATGGGACCACCAGAAATGCCAAGCCCTCACTCAGCCATGACAAGACTTCCCCATGCTCATGATTTGGCTGCTATCGCATTCTAACTCGGCCTATGTTTACATAACACATCTCAACTGTCGAGGTACCATCTATGGCGAATATTCACCGGGAGGGAGTCACACTGCTCTCCGAGAGCAAAGGCGCTAGCGGGGACCAACGCCATCTGAAGTGGTGTTGGTGAAGAAGAGCAAGAAAGAGACGGACGACAAGAGGCAACGAGTACCTTTCCACCATCAGATATCTTCTGGCCAGAGGAGTATCTCGTGCCGGACCTTCCCCAGGCTCGAATATGGACGTATGGGTACAACGCAGACGTCATTGGTGGGCTTTTCCAGGCAAACAACCAGAACAGTATTTCACAGCATGGCCGGGACTTCGCTGTCAGGTTGGAGAGGGATATTGATAATGAGGCATGCCAGGCTGCTCTATATCTCTATAAATAAGCCTAACGAGTGTCCACACAGGATCCGGTTGTGTTCGTGGCGCATAGTCTTGGTGGAATCATCACGAAAGATGTGAGACCCCACACGTGCAGCTTGAAGGGCCGCAGCTATTGATACACTGATATAGGCACTACATAGATCGGAGACAATCTGCAACGGACAAAGCTGATTGTTTTTCTTGGGACGCCACATCGAGGAAGCACGTACGCTGGTTGGGGGGTGATCGCATCAAACTTGGCGAGCATAGCCCTTCAAGACTCGAACAAACGGCTTGTACAAATGCTTGAAGTCAATGATGAGGTTTTGGAGAATATTCACGAGGAGTTTAAGACTATACTTGCCAAATGCGCTATCAAAGTTCACTCATTCCAAGAGGCGAAGGGGATTTCCGGCATGAAAGGTCTAGACAGCAAAGTAAGATACCAGACTGTAACCTATAGAGCTGCAGTAACTAATATGTAGCACAGGTAGTGGACAACTTTTCCTCGAAGCTCGATCTCGCCAGGGAACAAGAAACGGTGGAGACCATCGACGCAAATCATATGGAAATGGCTAGATGTAGCAGCAGAGATGATGCGCGTTACCGCCAGATCTGTGGAGTTCTAAAGCAGTTCGTAAGGACCGGACTGCCGAGCAGGGAAACGAACTCGGTCAATAACAAGGATAGATTCTGTACGTAACCATGTATCAGTAATGCATTATGCTGCTCATCACTCAGTTTATCCAGCACTCGCCAAACAATTTATAGTTCCCTTCTCGCGAGACGAGCACTTTGTTGGTCGAGAAGACACTCTAGGTCAACTAGACTTAGGAGGCCAGCAGGAGGCGCCAAAAAAGCATAGGAGACATGCACTAGTCGGTCTTGGAGGAGTTGGGTAGGCCTTTTATCACACCCATCTTCACGGCGGCTAAATGCGCATAGGAAATCTCAAATCGCCATGAGTATGCATACCGAGCGCGGAAGCACCGACCGCAAATATCAGTATTCATGCAAGTACCAAGACCCGGTTCAAACAAGCGTATCAAGAGATGGCGGAGAGTCTTGAGCTTCCAGGGCGAGACGATCCGAAGATTAACGTGCTACGTCTAGTGTATAATTGGCTGTCAGATGAAACTAACAGACAGTGGCATATGATACTGGACAATGTCGACGATGGAAGCGTATTTTTTGGGAATAACGATGTCGTCAGGGGCGCCCCTCCGCATGACCAAGCAACCAACCCGCAGCCACCACTGGAGACATTTCTTCCTCACTCGCGAAACGGATTAATCCTTATCACATCGCGTAACTCGGCTGCGGCCGACAACCTCGTCGACACGTTTGGAAAGCTTGTACCAGTAGAGCCAATGGAAGAGAAGGACTCGGTTGATTTGCTTAAGGCGAAGATACCAGCAGACAAGTGTTCGGAAGCAGACTTAAAGGAGCTGGCCCAGACACTTGAAGGTATTCCACTGGCTATTACGCACGCGATCACAGTATCAGGCACACGGTGATTATGACATGGCAGATTTCGTTCAATCAGATCCAACGGACTGAGTCCGAAGCTGCAGACCTGCTTGCACTGATCATGTTTGACAGACAAAGTATTCCCGAGCGGCTGCTACATAATAACACAAACCAGTTACTCTTTGAGAATAGTATTGCGCCACTGCTCAACTTCTCACTGATCCGAGAGCAATCTGGCGGCGGTTCGTTCGAGATGCACCGACTGGTGCAGCTGTCGACCAGGAAGTGGGTAGAGTTGAACGGACAGCTAGAGAAATGGCGGGGTGAGGCGATCAAGATTACAGCAAGACTGTTCCCAGATGGAGATTATGAAACGTGGTCTGACTGCCAGAGTCTGCTTCCTCACGTAAGAACGGTCATGTCGTCCAAAGCGACTGATCAGCAAGATCTGCTACGTGTTGCAGCAATAAATACCAGGTTGGTATTATATGCTAAAAGGCGAGGCCATCCGCGCTGAGCCTATACTTCAAGAAGCAATAGTGGTAAGGGAGAGGGAGCTCGTGGTCACCCATCCAGACATGCTCACCAGCGTCAGCAACCTGGCGTCAGTGCTACAGAGGCAGGGAAGATATGAGGAGGCGGAGTCAATGAACCGACGAGCGCTGGAAGGGAGAGAGAGGGAGCTCGGGGTCACCCATCCAGACACGCTCACCAGCGTCAGCAACCTGGCGTTAGTGCTACAGAGCCAGGGAAGATATGAGGAGGCGGAGTCAATGAACCGACGAGCGCTGGAAGGGAGAGAGAGGGAGCTCGGGGTCACCCATCCAGACACGCTCACCAGCGTCAGCAACCTGGCGTTAGTGCTACAGAGCCAGGGAAGATATGAGGAGGCGGAGTCAATGAACCGACGAGCGCTGGAAGGGAGAGAGAGGGAGCTCGGGGTCACCCATCCAGACACGCTCACCAGCGTCAGCAACCTGGCGTTAGTGCTACAGAGCCAGGGAAGATATGAGGAGGCGGAGTCGATGAACCGACGAGCGCTGTAAGGGAGAGAGAGGGAGCTCGGGGTCACCCATCCAGACACGCTCACCAGCGTGAGCGACCTTGCGTTACTGCTACAGAGGCAGGGAAGATATGAGGAGGCGGAGTCCGACGAGCGCTGGAAGGGTATGAGAGGGAGCTCGGGGCCAGCCATCCAGACACGCTCACCAGCGTGTACTGCTTGGCTTTCCTTCTAGATTCCCAGCAACGTTATGAGCCTGCCGCGGAACTCTATCAGAGAGCATGCAACGGCTATGAAATTGCCCTTGGCCAAGATCATCCAACTACATTAGCATGTAGAAGGCACTATTTCTGCTTACTCGAAGAGCATAGCGGGACTCAAAGCATGTTAAGTGCGAAGATAGCCTCGTGAAGAGTGGTTAGACCATTATTAAACGGAATGACTTAAGGATGTACTGCATGTGTATAATTCACGTTAGTAATTTTATAGGTTATGTCCGTGGAGATCTATGTGGACTTGCAGTGCTACAAAATGTCCCAAGTTTTTTCTCTATTATTCCCACCCACCTCCAAGGTTTGAGCCCTGATTAAATCCTTACAACTTGTTCCTTTATCTTCGAGATGTTGGACCACTCATTAAAGTTAATTTGCAAGACAATCCGTGATGAGATGACGTCATCCTTGTCATGGGATTTAAAAGTCCCGCTATAGAATTGAAGTGAAGTAATCGAACCCAAGGTATAAATTGCAAGTGGCGACTATAGTTGGGTCACAGGGTCAGAACAGCCATTTCACAAGTATTGAGCTTCTTGTCAGGTATTATGTCATGGATTAGGCGGTGCTGGGAGGGACCGAGGTTTGGGGCCATGATGCTGTACAAATTTAAGGTACATGAAGCATTTTGTGGTTCTGTAAAGGGACTCTCATGGGTAGAAACTCCATGTAAAAGCCACGTGCCCTGGACAAGTCGGGCAAGGGCCAGTAGTGGTGGGGTGAGCCGCCGATTCTACCTCACTCGGTACGTACTTCCTTCGGTACCTCCACGGTACATGTATTTGCGAAGCCACAACAAGCCACAGACTTACCCTGCAGCCTATAAATAAATTTAAGTATAAATTTAGCGACACTTAATTCGCCTTCTACTGTATTTACTTTTCGTTTATGCTAAATACAGTCAAACCCTTGTTAAGACGATGGCATCCGTAGCAAGCATTTCCATCATCTTATCATATATATCGTTATATAGAGTAATATTATGTAAACCACCTATCTAACGTAACCTGCTGCTGTGACTGTGCTCGAATAGCCTCAATGGCTGTTTGCAGCCACTCTAGTGCCCGTATATGCCCCGTAGTAAGAGCATCCTGGCCTTCAGAATACTCAATCAGTATCTGGAGGGCATCCTGGGCCTCCTTTGCCGTAGGCGCAGGCTGCTCAGGCTGCTCCTCCTCTTCGTCATCATTTTGAGAGTTCTGATGCCCAAGTTGCCCCTCTATTATCTCCTCAAGTAGTTCTTCATCGGTAGTCTGTCCTTCCACTGCTCTAGCCTCTTCCACAGGGTTTAGAAAGTTCGAAATAGCCATTGAGTCTGTAATTGATGCTGTAGTTATCGCTTGGTTGTAGAGTTCTTGTATTCCAGTAGGCATCGTTATTGTTGGAAGGCTAATTGGATTTGAAACAAGTGTAGATTTCCGGAAGCAGTTGTATATCGTAGTGTTTGAAACTTTTGTATTCCAAGCACGAATAATCCAGCGAAGAGCGAGTCGAAGATTCATAAGTTTCTGTGGATCTTGATTTGAATCAATAGTGTCGATTATAAACTGAAGCCAATGTTGTCGATAATAAGCTTTAACATTTTGAATAATTCCTTGATCAAGAGGCTGGAAACGACTGGTACTGTTAGCTGGAAGCCAACAAATGCGGATATTAGGGGGAGGAGGGTTAAGCTCAGCCCCTGTATAGTGTGCTGAAAAGCCGTCCATTGTTAAGAGTATTTGCCGAGTAGTTCCAATATGCTGATAAAAGGCTTGAAGCCATTCGCTCATAAGTATTCCAGTCATCCAAGCCTTCTTATTCGCTTTCCATTGTGCCCCCATTGTTGGTATATTGATTCGTTGTAGTGCTCGAGGTGCTTTTGCATGGCCAATTGCCCAAATAGGGAGTCGGTCTGTTCCAGTAGCGTTGACGCAGAAAACCAGGGAGATCCGAGTCTTATTCTTCTTCACACCAGATTGGAGTTGCGATGACAGGCCTCGTGATGGCATCATCTTCCAGAAGAGTCCAGTTTCGTCCATATTGTATATATCCTCTTCTTGAAACTCCCCTGCTATTGTCCGTAGTGCCCTCATTTCTTCCTCGACATTTTCCGGAACTGATGCCGCCTCTCCAAACCACTGTCGTGATTGTATATGATGCTGCTTTTTGAATTTTTCGAGCCAGCCAGTAGAAAACGATGGGCACTCTTGGCCAGCATATTCTGGCAGTCGTTTCCAGATCTGCTGTGCCTTCTGCTGTAGTATATCGCCAGTTGTAAACCCTCCTTTTTCTTCAATCCGATTCCCACTCCCAAAGGATATTCTCTAGCTTTGGCCACTGGCCTAGTTGACGGCGTTGAATTCCAGTGTCTTGGTTCTTATCAAGGGCCTCAAAGTTGCTACTTAGTGATTCAGAAATAGTCGACTGGCTTAACTTGTGATGATATTGTCTTTCAAACCATTCGATACACTGCCACTGAGTTGGCTTTGGAACTTGTTGGTGGGCCCAGTGTCGAAGGGCACGCTGCTGGTCGACTGTAATCGGCCTTTTTCGAGGCATTTTGGGTGTCTAATGGCCACGTTAAGACGATGAACAGGTTGGAAAAGACAATGATCATTGAATCGTATTTTGTATGGTAAAAGTATCGGTCCGTGGAAAAATATCGCACAAAAGAGGTTATCGGCTAAAAGAGGATCGTCTTGGCGAGGTTTGACTGTACGGTAGAAGACAAATTAATTGTCGCTAGCTTTTTTCCCTGTGGCTTGTTGTGGCTTTGCAGATGGCTTGTACCAGGGAGATATCGAGGGAGGTAGAATCGGCGGTTCAACATACTACTGAACCACAAGTGTCTGGAAATGGACACTGCTGAAAATAACTAACTAAAAAACCAGCAACACCCAATTCGTCTTCTACATGGATCAAAATGTGGCAAAGAGGCAGTTTTGCAGTATACAAGGATTCGCAAAAAAACATGATATGTGCATCTTTGCCATACTGATAAATTTGACAGCCCTTAGTGCAGAGTTGAAGAGCATTTAATTATGCGCACCCGTCTTCTAATGAGAAGTCAACCACCACCTCTAGCGATAGATTGTCCTGAAGCCATGGAAGAAACTAATTCGTCCAGCAATCCATTACGGGCGGCATCCGTACCCCAGGATGACATCATCGCCTCAAACGCCAAGGATATTTCCACCAGCCCTTGTGATAACTTTCTCACCCTGAAGGTTTTTGGGAGACTGAAACGGAGTGTCTCTTGGATGTCTGACGAAATTTGGCCTTTGGCTAATGACGAGGACGTGCTATGCGGCTGCAGCACTAAAGGAAGCAGCAATGTGCTAGAAAACGTGGTGACCTGGGGGTCAGATTCTCAAACGAGATCCCTGATCATGCAATACGGATGCCGCTTACTCGGACAAGAGATTTAAACTACCACGATCTAACCATAGCTGTGCCTACAACTTTAAGTCCCCACTCAGCTCATAAATTGAGTCATCAAGCAACGCCTGATTTCGAAAAAAGTCTGGCCATTTGTAAAACAAAGAGTAAGAGTAATCAGACTCATCAGCAGAGCTACAAAGACAGCCCAATATCACCGCTAGATATAGGCTCGGATTGGGACCTCATAGGAAGTGACGATGACAGCGAATGTATCTTTTCCTTCAGCCCACACGCGGGCAATGATACGATGGGTAGCAGCTCTAACACAAAAATGTTCAATAAAATTACTAGATAGATATGGAATATGGGGGAAAGGGTGGATTACGAGCGGTTTAGGTTGGCGGTTTGAGGTTGGGGCTGGGGTTGGGGACAAGTTTTTTTGAGGGCAAGGAGAATGTAATTCTAGGAGAGACACTTTTAGTCGAGATTAAAACATCAAATAATTTGGGCCTTTTAATTAAGAATGAGTTCCACAGTATTTGCAAATTTTATGTCCTCTGAAGACTGAAAATTCAGCCATGTATACATCAGCCTTTATATCGTCACTATCCGCCTTTGTTGTCTTACGGTTCAACAGTGGCTGCTTTACACTTGTCAGTGGAAAACCTGTGATTGATGCTGAGCTTCCTACCTGTCTTAATTCATCGATCGAATGCGCAGATTCCGCACTTTGAACAAACTTTGAGGCATCATTGTCTAGTGGCCAAAGGATGGGGTCGCGAGTATTCATAGGTCCAGTATATACAGCGACTTTACTCATAAGCTCCATTGTCACATAACCAACTCCTCTAATATCCTTAATAGAGTCGCGATTTGACACAAGTCTGCGGCAGCATTCTTGGCCCGCTACTTACTGTTAGTTGACGCCCGTGACATAGCCTGACGGCCTACCTATTCTTATAGATCCCTCAGTACTTATAAGGATATTCTTGCGATATTGGCTGTCTCATCATCAGTAGGTCATCAGTAGGTTCTTTACCTTGCAACTTACTGTTGATTATATTCTAGGTCAGCTCATGCCAGGTTTGATGCCATCGGAGGTCGACAGTAGTTAATGGGATAGTGGCAGGATTGACGAGCCTCATTCTCGGCCTCTGTATTCGTGGTACATTTGGGGTACAACTGGGTCACGGTGCAAAGCCACAGGCGTCTAGAAGTGGAGCCCGCTTAAAGGAGCAAAAAGTGGCCGATTTGGCAGATACTGGTCACTTCTTTGGTCTTGCTCAAGAGGGCACAGTCCAACTCGGAATTTTTTGGTAAGGCTTACCAGGCCGCCACACACAGCCACAGCTCGGCAGCCACCTTTTATTGCCAAGCGATAAGGGATCCCTGATCGCTTACTTTGGAGGTATCAACTCATATGGTGACATCGGATGACACAGCACTCCCTGGTCCCCACAAGGCTGAAAATGATTTTTCAGCGTCATGGTGAGGCTCAGAAACCCAGATCAAAGTGTTAAATGAGTTGGAAGGCGTAATGGGCTTGTGGTGATGCTGTAGGTCAAGGGTTCTATTATACTATGAATTGACGCTCCGCAATCAGGCGCAACGGCGACGACGTGATCGTAAATTTCAGAGTAACTAGGGTTTGGACTGTTCAGGAGTGATCACACAACATGATTGACATAAAAATAGTGGAATTTTCAATGGGTTCACAAATTTAGAATCAATTAAATTCAAAGTACTGATATTTGTCTCGTTACGGGGTGCGTCTCTCAACACAGGGATGCACGTTAGTAGCTATTCTCAGTATATCTAGTTAATAAGTTAAAACAGTCAATAACTTATACGTGCTCTTCAGTTGACTTTGTCTGTCTTAATGCAATATAATGTACGAGCCATGCATTGCATACTAAGTTATTGGGGAAATGTTTTTGACAAGATCAGTCTTAATTTTGTATTCTGTGAATAGAAGGTAGTGCAGACCTTAATTTATCTAATATCAGCGATGCCTCGTCCACAATCAGGTAGGAATGTGCAGATTTTGCTCTAAAAATCTTCTGCCACACTAATCCACTTCTGATTATCTTTTTTCAGACACTGGTTCTCTAAGTCTACTGTGTGTAACATCGTCTTAGCCTGTTTTGCAACCTCTTCAGCTTCTTGCTTCTTCGTTAACTCTATCGCAGCAGTATTCTTGCACTTGTTCAGTTCAATTACCAATCTCAAATTTTCTGCTTCTAATTGTGTGATTTTGTCCGTAAATGCTGCTGGTCGAGTTAAAAACATATGCTGCGGTAGGATTAGAATTGAGCCTCTTCGGTAGTATAACAACGAACTTCTTTTGCTACAGCTTCAAACGAACTACCAATTTCTCGATATAACTCCATATAAGCTCCGATTGAATGATTACTCAGGTTTTTTTGGAACAGGTGTGATGCTGCTGGCAGATATTGCCAAGAATAAGGATCCTGTTCGTGGGTAATGAGACGAATTTCTAACGGGTCGACTGCTATTCCAAGCTTGGTCTCTATTGGTATTGGTTAGCATTAAATTAGTGTTCATAGGCATAGTCCTTGCCAATATGCTCAGAAAGCTTTTCGCGGCATTTAGACCGCCATTGGGCTCGATCTATGTTACTTTGTCGAGGCGCCATTTTAAATTCTGTCTGGTAGGTTGGATTACAAGGAAAGATTTCTACCAGCATCGACGGTAAATATCAATGGCGCAAGTGCATCAGCTTATTAATGGAACTGAACAGCGCGTCCTTTTATTTGACCATGCTTGACAGAAATGGCTGCTCTAAATTAATGCCATTTATGACCTGATTTTAAGGCAGCCATTTTTAGAGCCAGTTCCTGAAGTTAATGGAAACGTGGTTTGATAGACTGGTAAGCATGAGATAATTACAAGCCAGTATCTGCTTCCAATTTAGGGCTGTGCGTCATACCCACCGGAATCGAATGGTTGAGGCGGAGCTGTGGATTTCGGCAGATGATCTAAATTGTACGAAATCGGCCTGTTACCACAGCGACCCAAACTATCACTTTAGTGCAGTCAGAATGGAATACCAGTAATACAGGACACATAAGTTATAGTGATTAAATCAACTTAAGTTTGTCGAACTATCTAATGAGCCTACGTATAGATGTTGGGCGACTGTGAGCTCGGTTTGGGCTTTATAGCGCGCCCGAAGCTAGTTCATACACTAATGAGGCTGGTGATATGTCTCGCATGGGCTGGTTACAACAATGAGCTTTGCATAGAGCCCTGAAGGTACTATATTAATGCTATATCAAACAACTTGCTAGTAGTAGTAAATAGAATGCTATGGTTTCCTCCATTAATTTTCCTCAAACTCCATGATGCGTTCACAGCTTACTGTACCTTCCTTTACCCATGAGTTTTCAACTTTTGGCCGGCCCTTCCACTGAACCAAGTATTCAACCCTACCGTGCCGTATTCGCTTTTTGAGCAATTGCACACCCAAACAATTTCCCTTATAAGTTTCATCAAAGCTTTCAACAAGATCTGAGCTTATGTCATTCCGTTTCTGCCATGTATTGTCCTCATCCGTGTAGCCTTTCCACTTCACAAGATACCAAATCGTGTTGCGTTCTTTCGACTTAGCAAGCAGCGCTTCAACCTCCCATACTCCTTCTTTGGCGTTAATTGCAACTGGCTGGGTTTTCAATGCTTGACTTCTGTAAAGAGACTGTGTAGTTGTGCTCTCGTGGTTTTCTAGTATATATCCCTCAGGCGAGTTGGCGATTGATGATAGGCCGGATACAGACGAAGGAGGAGAATCTCGAAGGCGAGGATCAATCAGTTCCATTATCTCATCAGGTACGCAAAGAGCAGTGTCGCAGCTGGGCAGAGTACACCCATGCGCCAAAACGGGTCCAGAATGAGCGGCTTCGTTTGTATCGCTAGTGGCTTCTAACGGAGTTTCCCATAGAGACTGGCCTTCATCTCCAGGGTTGGAAAGTGGTTCAGAAATGTTGTCTGATAGCGAAGTATCATTGCTGAGGCCATCGCTGTCATAATCGGACCCGTCCCAGATGCTGTTGCATGAGGTGGTGTAGTATGGTGAAGAACTGTGAGACGCCGCTGCCATATCAATAACGTCAATGGTGCCGGGCTCAAAATTTATTGCTGACAGATTCGTAAATTTAGAACCAAAGTCCTCGTTTTTTGGTCGTCCCTGCACCCGAGGCCGTTTCTTTTTGGCCGCATTTGGTATTTCTGCTCGTTCATCCCCTTCATCTCCGAAATCACGCTGGCGCTTTCTTGGGGTGGGCTTGCTTGTGCAGTGACAATCGTCGAGGTGCCACCACAATTCTGATTCCGAGCAAAGCATCGCAGAGCATAATGGATGCGGACATAGAATTGATTCGTTGCCATCAAGGCTTTTGACATAATCTGGAATGCATTTCGCAATATGTCTTTTCCAGCTGGTTCGATCTGGGAAGTGCTTCATCCGTTGCGTTGCTGGAAGTGACGTGTCCCCAAGGCATCGGCTACAATACCCAGCGCAAGCAACAGCATGACGGAATGTAACAGGGTCGCACCGGAAAGGCAAGTCATAGCTGTTGATATGATTTTCGCAATGGCCGTCCCAAGCTTCCTTACTAGTTATCCACTTGCTGCACTGGAAACAGAATTCGGCAAAACCAAAATGATTCTTATGGTATAGTTTAGAGCACTGGTACACATGCTTCCAGCTATTTTCGACAGTAATACTGCAGTTTTGTTAGCCAAAATGTCACTAATGGTTGGGGATACCTTTACTTTTTGATCTCCTCACTACAAGTCGGCACTGGACAGCGGCCTAGTATGGGCCGTAACTCTTTCTGGTACGCAACAGTGGAATCATTTGTACGCAGAGCAATTAGGTCCCGCAGAGCAGAAATACCCTCTGGGCTCCGTAGTGGCACAGCCAGTGATAGCGTCTTAGCAAGCCGATCGCGCTCAGGAATCATGTGACGGATAACACGGTCAAAATAACCGCGGTGCCGTTCATCCATTTATTCTCCCTCATAATTGGTGTTGGGCGCTTGCTGCGGATTTTTGCGTTGGTCCTGTAACTGTAAGGACACAGGGAATACGGCTCTCCGTAGGTGCATATGGGAGTGCGAGTCGGAGGTGATGCTGTATTCTATCCTATAGGTCTACTACGAAGGATACAAAAAAGATGAAGGGGGAACCCCGTTGAGTCTGTTTCCTTAACTCCCGAAACGGGCCCGACTCGGTTATCCCAACCCTAGCCCTGAACCTTCCACCGCAACACGTCTACATCGGCCCTGAACCCTAACACTTACCGTCCCCCACTATAGTGTAACTCGCTATATGATCCTCTACTGGTTCGAAACCCCACCGAGTCGGATTCCATGTTTGTAGTGACCGTAACAGTTCTGAGACAGGTTCTTCGAGTATCTAGGTACGGAGGCATCCTTACAGTAACTCTCTTTTGACGAGCGTTTGCCTTTGATCATAGAGATGGCGCCGTTGAGTCTTGTAATGGTGGGTGCACCAGATGTGAGAATCTAGCCACCCAAGGGAGGGATGATTTTACTAAGACAACACACTGTCTTAGGAAACAGAGCCAAAGGGTTGTAGCTTAGACTATTCCACAACGCAGCAATCAGGTGTGTGATGTAGTGAAGTGGTTCAGACAAGTTGCAACAAATGTTGAGTCTGGGAACTCAGGGGTAAGTCAGAGGTTAACACCTCACTGACTTTTCAGAAACAAGGAGTAACAAGATGAATGCTTGGAAGCTTGTAAAAGATGTGGAAGTATGTGATAGTCGATTTACTGTATTGCCTGCTTGCCCTTTCTTAAGGAAAGGGCAATCCTATTTATGCCAAAGGAGTGTAGTTCTCTCATTTTCCATGACTTTCCATGACTAACCAGGCTTGGTAAATGTAGTCGACGTAAGAGAATCCCATAGAACCATCTCTTAGGTTCGTAGCCTATAGGAAGTAAAAGGAGGTCCAAGGTCAGAGTACCTATAGATAAATTATGTCATAACTTAACCAATCTTGTGGGTAACTAAGGAGTGATGATGTGTAATGAATCATAGAGGGTTGTAGAAGCTTCTAGAGCTACGTTCATGTTCCTAGGCCTCTAGTTGGTAGAGATATGCCATGTGGTCGTATTGGCCCACCCTTAAGGAGGAGATTTTCTTAATAACTTGTTCAATGAGTGTCCAAATGATATGCCGTGATGTACGTAGCATAAACAGATGTAGTAGAAGAGTTTGCAGCAATCGTTGAGTAGTATTGCTTCTGTTATTGGTGTGATAAGCCAAGATATGTATGGTGACTTGTAGGTTTGAGGAGGAGATTTCTAAGTTTGCTCTTGAGTTTGATAGTAAACTGAGTGCAACGAATGTCAGTATGACAAGTCTGAGATTCATTGCCATCAAGATTTTTAATCTGCTCAGAAAGATCAATATAGTCCTGACGCTGCTTCAGATGATCCAGGATGTTTGCCGTGAGCGAGTGCGGGAGATTCGGGTTTTTCTTCATAGACTCCGAGTGGAAGTATTCTGTAAGGTCTCTCCGTGGATTTGTCTTGAGGAACGCTGCTGTGCCATCTACATTACTCGCGTCATCTAAGTAGTGGCCAACGAGAGTCTTCGCGTTTCTATGCCCAGCATATTTCATAACCTGCCCCAACGAATAGCCCCCGTCTGTAGCCATTAGCCTTGGTATACGATGAACTCGCTCAGATCAATGACACATACCATCTACCTGAATAAGTGCTTCCCGGCGGGCCGCATGAAGTCCCATTCCTTCTGTGAAGTCAGCTCGTACTGCCCAATCCGAACACTGCTGACCCCACGAGGTTTCATTTTTAATTTTCTCTGTTGGCCAATCACTGGACATCTCCGGAAAGACTGGTTTATCCAACGCGTCATCTGCCCAGTCTAACACCTGGTATCTTCCCTTTGGCGCCCTAGCAGAGAGGACATCCTCAACAGTTTTGTGATTCTCGAATGCACCACTTGAGATCATAATAGATAGTAAAAACAAGAGAGTGTTGGCACAGAGAGGAGGTGGAGGATCTAGCCTTTCGTATATGGGATGTTTTGGTCTATATGCGATCAGTGAAATGCCGCCCAAAAACGACGGAAAATTTTGACTACTTTTTAAAGGTGTCTGCCATGCCTTTACTGTGTTCTCTCTTGAAGGATATTATAATGTCGGGCTCTCCATCTTTCCATACAACCATGCAAACGAGTTCCTGTTGGCTAGTTAGCACTGAACCTGTCCTTTTATTTCTACTTCATATGTGTATCTGACCTTATACTTCGCCTTGCATATTTCCTGTAACCTTGCTGATGTATAGCAGTGCATCTTCAACAGAGCACTTACATCCACACGGCAGCCTTCGTGGATGTATTTATGGTGGTCTCTCTGCCATAATAGCTCCTCCATGTCGAGGTAGTTCTGTATAGTTAAGAACGTAGGTTCCTTCTCTTTTATCCACAGAGGGATCTCGTATCTGAGTACATCTGTGACGTACTTTTTTACTCGTTAAAAAGAGCATTATGGGGTATTGCGTGAGCTTGCAGCAGACTTACTGGAACCATTGAGTCATGGACGGCTTTAGGAATAGATAGATTGGTCTTCTGCTGCCATTCTGACATAAATGTCCAGACTTTAACCCGTACTGTTTTAACAGTTGCCATTCCTCCTTCATCTAGCCTGCCGGGGGTTGAGCGCACTATAGCTTCAGCGATATGCTTCATGCATTGCATATTGCGTGGATCGGCCCTTGGATTTATTCGCTCATACCTAAGATTCGTTAGTAATAGCTATGCTTAGCTTATGTCCGATATTAATAACTCACGCTTCCCAGAAATCAAACATAGCATCGTACGCCGGTACACTAGTTAGGGCAAGTTTTTTGTGAACAGGGTTGCTGTCGATGCCATCGCAATTTGCAGCGAGTCCACCGCTCAGGGCTGCCTGCATCCGCTTGTCTGCATTTAGCTGTCTCCTTCCAGTTCTTGCTGGCTTGATGCTCATGGCGTGGAGAGATCCACCATGTAGATATAGCTTGCAGAAAATAAAGGTAGGAAAAAATGAGATAAAACGATGGTGGGAAAGATGAGGAAGTGAAAGGAGGAAGGAAGGATGGTGGAGATGGAAGAGAAAGATGAGTGAAGAAGACGTGTGAGTATATGAGTGAAGAGGGGAAGAATGTGGGAGAGATGGTGGAAAGAAAAGAAAAAGCCCAATGAGAAGGAAGACGGCTGTATAATATGCAGCTGTTTATGGATACTCCCAGAAAAACTGACCCGCAGCCTGGGGATGCGGCCTTTTCTGGCTTATTGGCAAAAGTTGACGACCCCCAGTAAGATGGACCCTAGCTACTTCGCATTGCAGTGCATTGCAGTGTATTGCAGTGCATTGCAGTGCATAAACAAAGCGTGCCTGAGCACACCTGAGCGCACCTGAGTAGCCCTGAGTCGAAGCTGAGCACCCCTGAGCCGAAGCTGAGCCAGGCCTGAGCAAGCCTGAGCAAAAGCGGCGTGAGGTCACATGATCACAGGACTCGATCTGCGTCGAGATTCCGGTGGTAGTACAGTCATAATCCGTTAAGTCGATACGCGTTTACCTAATATTTATGATATCTCGATATATTTTGCAGGATCCATCCTTTTTACATATAAACCCCGATATACATGATATCGTGCCTTTTTATCAGATTATCGACTTATACTAACCTCTTCTTCACTTTATAGGATGCCTCTAAAGAAGCTCAATTTGATGACTCTTAACTAACGGTGTACTCTCTAGCGCTAGCACTGCGAACAACGCCCTCGACCTTTGTAGAAAGCTTACATTGTATGGTTCTAAGACTAATACTAGACTCAAGTTAGCTAATCTACTATCTCTGAATCTCTTCACACTCGATTTGCCTACCTCAACAGCACCCTATAAGTAGACGACCAAGAAGCTTAACAATGACAACGTAACACTGCGTAGCCACAGCTAGAAGCTATCCTTTTCAACTAGCAGAAGCTTATTAAACGACGAGGAGGGGTTAATAACAGGTGAGGTTTTGCAAGAGAAGGCAAAGTAGATCTAGGCACAAGTACCATAACACAAAGGGGAAACAGTCCTAGAGTTCAGCTTAGGGTAGGTTATTGTTACAGCTAAGTGCTAGTGCTATGGCTAGCGGTTACGGCTGCAACCTCACGTGATGGATAACATTGTATATCATGGATATTATGTTATCCATGTTATCCACGTGTCATACTGGTATTCGTTGCACTCAGTTTGCTATCAAACTCAAGAGCAAACTTAGAAATCTCCTCCTCAAACCTACAAGTCACTATACATATTTTGGCTTGTCACACCAACAACAAGAGCAATACTACTCAACGATTGCTACAACCCTCTATGATTCATTACACGTCATTGCTCCTTAGTTACTGGGCTGATATGACCACATAGCATATCTCTACAACCCTCTATGATTCATTACATGACATCACTCCTTAGTTACTGGGCTAATACTACACATGACATATCTCTATCAACTAGAGGCCTAGGAACATGAACGATAGCTCCAAAAGCTTCTACAACCATCTATGATTCATTACACGTCATCGCTCCTTAGTTACCCACAAGATTGGTTAATGTAAGGACACAGGGCACCCAGCTCACAGTAATAGCATATGAGAGTGCGAGTCGGAGGCTAAACGGATGCTATCCTATAGGTCTACTACGAAGGATACAAAAAAGATGAAGGGGGAACCCCGTTGAGTCTGTTTCCTTAACTCCCGAAACGGGCCCGACTCGGTTATCCCAACCCTAGCCCTGAACCTTCCACCGCAACAGGTCTACATTGGCCCTGAACCCTATACACTTACCGTCCCCCACTATAGTGTAACTCGCTATATGCTCCTCTACTGGTTCTAAACCCCACCGAGTCGGATTCCATGCTTGTAGTGACCGTAACAGTTCTGAGACAGGTTCTTCAAGTATCTAGGTACGGAGGCATCCTTACACTACCCCCCGTCGTAAGAGAGTGCATTGTCCGCAAAGCACGCCGCCCGCCTATGGTCCGGAACCCATCCGGGTAGCGTCAGTGACTTGGGCGTTCTTTGTCGTAGGGTTTGCGCGCGTGGCCGCATTAGTGACAACCGCATTGGTCTGATGTGCCGGGAGATGGAAAAAAATAATCCTGGAGCAGTACTACCGTATCAGCTCCGTCTGGTATGCGACTACTTTTTGTTTTCTTTGTTCAATCTCTAGCTTAGTGGTGATGGTCCGAATGAGCACCGGGAGGTATCCGCTACAGGTACGCGTCGAAAGTTCCCATTGCGCAAGGAGGGTAGCTGCGCTAACCCGATTCGGGTGTCATTGTTGTAAGCCAAATCTGAGTTCAGAGCTTCGCCCACTTTCTCGTTTTTTATTCTTTGCTTCACAACAACAACGCCCACAAACCGACCTCCGAGACCAGTAAGTGGCCACTCCCCGTCCGTTTCTTGATCGTCTACTAACTGATTGTATAGGATATCCACAATCTGAACGAACGAGTAGGTGATGGGAGCGCGTTGGCGCGCTGGTGATAACTTGGGCTTGGCTAACGGAATCGCAGATTCCATTCAAATCCAAAGAATCGAAGATGCCGGTGCTGACCCCCTCCGGGGCCCTTACGGTTGCCTTCCGTGTGCTCTGTTTGCGCTGCCTTCAGGCCAAAGCCCGTGGGATCCAGTCCCACGACTGCGTCTGGTCCTCGACCAGTTCGAAGTGTGGGTACTGCACCGCGCAGCACTCGCCTTGCGTCCCGGTAGGTTTTCTTCTGGGGTTCGGTGTTTGGTTTGGTTGGCCATTGCTGACTTTGGTGGAAGCTGCCCTGGTTCCTCGGGGAAGAGTTTGCGGCCCTCCTGGCCGCCGAAGAGGCCACCCCCCTCATCCCCGCCGAAGTCGTCGCCGCCGCCACCGAGGCCAATCGGGTGGCCCTCCTGGCTGCCCAGAGCGTGCCAAAGTTCCACTCCAAGGCGGAGCGTGACCTCTATGAGGAGGCACGCGCCACTCGGGCTGCCCTCAAGTTGGGGCTGGCCGTGAGTATCCCCCCTTCCCCTTGTGACTCGGTATGGTTTCGATGCTGACTCTGGGCAGCAAATTCGGTCGTCGCTGCGCCGTCTTCGGACGGAACAGGAGAGCGTTCCTGCTCTCTTGGGGGAGTTGGTGGCTGCTGTGGGCAAACTGCCCACCGCTGCCGCTCCCGCGGTCGCTCCGACTCGGGGTGATGGAAGGAGGGAGGGGGAGGATGGGGAAGTTGGGGCGGCCTACGGGGCCTAGGTGGGGGAAGACCTTGTGTCGGAGGGGACTCGGGCCTGGCCCTTCGCGTGGGGTCACTTCGACCCTTCGTCTCTCATGGTGGTAGCCGCTTGTTGCGACGCCGGTGAGACGTTTGGGAAGGGTGGCTCCCGCAAGGGTTACAGTGGTGAGTGCGCCCTGGCTCGGAGGGTATATTTAGTTTAGAGTCGCAGACAGCAATGACTCTGTTTCTTCCGCTTTGTCTTTCCCTCCGTGATCGTAGTTTTGTTCCTTTCCCGTCTCCCCTGCCATGACACCTTCTAGTAGTTCGTGAGGTGGACCTGGTAAGTCTGGGTATTCCGTATGAAACTCTCTGAGTTTCTGGGGAGAGTTCATGAAGTTTGACGCTGGGTACCACTCCGGGTCCGGATCGTATCCGACCCAACTAACCTGGTATTGTAGTTGCTTCCGGTGGACCCTTACGGCGAGGATCTTTTCCACTTCCCATTCCTCTACGCCGTCTATCACTTCGCTGCTAGGCTCGGGCGGATCCTGACCAGGTAGGGGATTGTTCAGATCCTTCATAAGTACGTCTGGTGAGAACACATTGTGTATTTGAAAACTGCTAGGTAGTTCCAATCGAAATGCGTGCCCAATCCGTTCCACCACCGTATATGGTCCGACCCATTGTTGGCCCAGCTTGCGGCTAGGACGAGAGTTTTTCAAATTTTTGGTCGATAGGTACACTCTATCTCCTACGTCCCAGTCGATGGCCCTTCGGCGTCGATTCGCGTGCTTAGACATTTCCTCTTGTGCCTTTGCCATGTTTTCCTTTGCGTGGACCCATGCGGTATGCATTCGGTCTGCCACCGCCTTGGCTTCCTCTCGGTTTAGGGTCTCCCGGGGGTTGGTGCTTTTCAGAGTGTTCCAATCCCAACTCGTACGCGGATCGGTTCCGTACTTGAGTTGGTAGGGGGTCATGCCAATGGATGCGTGGGGGAGTGTCATTTGCACGCGGTCCATTATGGGGATGAGCTCGCTCCAGTTATCCTGATAATGGGATACGAAGGGCCTCAGTCTCTGATCGATGTATCGGTTCATGATTTCCGTCTGCCCGTCGGTCTGCTTATGATAGGCAGTCGACAGCTTAACCTTAACGCCAATAATTCGACAGAACTCTTGCCAAAAGGATGATACGAATTGGGGTCCGCGGTCGCTTACAATCGACTCCGGAGTATGTCCGAATCGGTATATCCATTCGATGAACAATTGCGCCATCTGGCGGGCAGTTATGGTCTTGTAGCAAGGTATTGTCACCGAACTCTTTCCGAGTCGGTCCATAAACACTAAGATGCTATTGTATCCATGCTTGTCCCTTGCGAACTCCTTGAAGTCCATGGTGAGGTGTTGCATAGGGTACTCGGGTACGGGTAGTGGGTGTAGAAATCCTTGTTGCTTAGTGACATTGGTGTGAGAAAGCCGGCATTTCACGCAGTTTCGTACATACCGCAAACAGTCCGCTTCCATCCCGACCCAATGATACTTTGGGGCGAGCAATTGGTAGGTTTTTCTGCCACTTGGGTGTGCTGACGACACTTGATCGTGCGCTTCCAGGATCAGTTTCGTACATAGGTCAGTGTGGCGATTCACACATAGGCGGCCTTTGTATAGGAGGAGCTGGTCGTTCATCGCGAATCCGTCCGGTAGGGGTTGTTTCGCGCGAGTCTCAGTGAACGACTTCCGATTGTCCGCACATAGCGCCTCTATTAAATTGAAGGGCACCTGGGGCTTGGCGGTGTCCATTGAATTAATGGATGCTATGTAGCTCTCGGCGAGTTCGGTGCTGATTCGGGGGTGTAGGCAGCTTGGACCTAACAATACCCTCGCCCTACTATCGAGTTTGACTTTCTGCTGCGTTACCAGGGCTCAGAATATCAGCCTTCTGATTATTCTTGCCTGCGGTGTACGTGATGCAGAAATTGAAGTCGGAGAGTAGCTCCATCCACCGAACCTGTTTCGCTGTGAGAATCTTGGTAGACATGAAATATTCCAACGAACGGTGATCAGTGTAGACGTCAACTCGGTGGCGTACCGAAGCCAACTCGGGCCTCCATTTTCCAAAGGCTTTCACGATTGCGAATAGTTCCTTGTCGTGGATCTCCCAGTTGATCTCATGTCTGGATAGGACGTGACTGTAGAAGCTTACTGGGTACCATCGCTTGTCAGGGTGTTCTTGAGACAGGACACCAGCTACCACTCCATCAGAGGAGTCGGTCTCTAGCTTCGTAGGCAATTCGGGGTTGAAGTGGTGAAGTGCCTGTACCACTAAAAGTTGTTGTCGCAATTCCTCGAACGCATCCTCACATTCGTCTGTCCACCGGAACGGCTCCGAGGGACTAGTGATGGTGGTGAGGGGCTTTGCTATTTTGCCAAAATTACGAATGAATTGTCTATAGAAGCCACAGAATCCTAGGTAGGACTTCACACCCGTAACAGTGGTCGGTCGGATCCAGTTACGAAGGGGTTCGATTTTGTCAGGGTCCGCTTCGACACCGGAGGTAGTGAGAACATAACCCAAGTATTTTGTCCTGGTGACGTTGAACTCGCATTTGTTCAAATCAGCTTGGAGTCCAGCTTCTCGGAGACGCTGTAGGACCTTATGCACATGGTCTATGTGTTCCGTAGGGTCCTCTGAATAGATTAGGATGTCGTCTAAGTATGCGGTACAGAAGTCGTCTAAGTATTGCATCAGGACGTCATTCATATACCGCTGATAGGTTGCGGGACCGTTCGTCAGTCCAAATGGCAGCACTTTGCACTTATAGGATCCATAGCGAGTCCAAAAGGTCGTGTACTCTTCCGAGTCGGGGTGCATCTGTATACGATGGAAGGCTTGTCTGATATCTAGCTTCGTGAAGATTTTTGCTTTCGACACCCGTCCTAGTAGTTCATCGATACGCGGGATGGGGTAGGGATCGTTCCGGGTGAGACCATTTAACTTCCGGTAATCGATGCAAAATCTTAATTTGCCATCTGCTTTCTTTACGAATAGGATAGGGGATGCAAAGGTGCTGTTGCTGTTGATGATGAATCCCTTTTCCAGGTTTTCCAGCAGGTATTGCTTCGTAGCCTTAAGCTCTTCGGTGCCCTGTCGATATAACGGGGAAAAAGCATTTGGTAAAGGGGCTTCGAGCTGTATCTTGTGGTCGTATATGCGGTGGGGGGGGATTCGATCCGATTCCAACTTCGAAAAGACATCGGTGTACCTCCGGTGCATATGCGGAAGCTTCTGCTGGATGAGGCGGAGCGTTTCTTCGTCCTCTACCAACTCCTTTTCATGAATGATCTGATCGATTTCGTAGATGCTAGTTTGAAAAAACTCGGAGTCGTTTCGCATCATCTCGTGGTGGAAAGCATTTGCACTGATTTCGCATATATGCATGGGCGTAAACCTATGTATTAGGGTTTTCTGCGGTGGGGGAGAAACCTCCTGGTTTCGTGGTGGGTTCGATGGCGTATCGGTGATCTCTTCGTAGTCAGAAGTTATCACTTTCATTTCCATTGAACGTCCGAAACCATTCCGACTCGGAGACTTGTCCTGTGATAGCTGCACTTTGGAAACGAGCCTTGAACTCTGGGAAGGTTTCGCTAGCATGCCCTTTCTCTCCCATTTGCAGGTCGTCGAAGAGGTTCCTGGCCTGTTCCGTCTCGTTGCCTGTGAGGTAGTATGAACCTAGTAGATCCATCATCTCCTCAGCACTGCGGAACCCATGCATAGCGGACAGGTATTGGGGCTCTAGGTAGGTCTTCGCCAGTCCGGTGTAATGGTGGGTGCACCAGATGTGAGAATCTAGCCACCCAAGGAAGGGATGATTTTACTAAGACACACTGTCTTAGGAAACAGAGCCAAAGGGTTGTAGCTTAGACTATTCCACAACGCAGCAATCAGGTGTATGATGTAGTGAAGTGGTTTAGACAAGTTGTAACAAATGTTGAGTCTGAGAACTCAGGGGTAAGTCAGAGGTTAGCACCTCACTGACTTTTTAGAAACAAAGAATAACAAGATTAATGCTTGGAAGCTTGGAAAAGACGTGGAAGTATGTGATAGTCGATTTACTGTATTGCCTGCTTGCCCTTTCTTAAGGAAAGGGCAATCCTATTTATGCCAAAGGAGTGTAGTTCTCTCATTTTCCATGACTTTCCATGACTAACCAGGCTTGGTAAATGTATTAGAAATCAAGTGCGACCCACAACTAGCTTGCTAATCATGTAGTGAACGTAAGAGAATCCCATAGAACCATCTCTTGGGTTCCTAGCCTATAGGAAGTGAAAAGGAGGTCCAAGGTCAGAGTACCTATAGATAAATTATGTCATAACTTAACCAATCTTGTGGGTAACTAAGGAGCGATGACGTGTAATGAATCATAGAGGGTTGTAGAAGCTTCTAGAGCTATCGTTCATGTTCCTAGGCCTCTAGTTGGTAGAGATATGCCATGTGGTAGTATTGGCCCACCCCCTTAAGGAGGAGATTTTCTTAATAACTTGTTCAATGAGTGTTCAAATGATATGCCGTGATGTATGTAGCATAAACAGATGTAGTAGAAGAGTTTGCAGCAATCGTTGAGTAGTATTGCTTCTGTTGTTGGTGTGATAAGCCAAGATATGTATGTTGACTTGTAGGTTTGAGAAGGAGATTTCTAAGTTTGCTCTTGAGTTTGATAGCAAACTGAGTGCAACGAATGTTAGTATGACACCCTAGAACCATATCCTAAGTTGATTCTAGGACTTTATAGAGGTTGAAACCTCGAGTTTGCCCTTATGGTAGTCAGCTCGAGGGGTTAAACAAGACAGTATTATTGACTAAATTGAGGAGGACGTCTTGAAGTTGTCGAGTCGGATTTTCCATTACGCCACCATGACCATTACACCACCTCTTAACGTTAACTTACCGCTTTATATTCCACTATTTAACTTAGCCTCGTGTGGTTTTTATGTGTAGAGATGTCTTAAAATGGCGGATATGAGCAAGGCACTAAGATAAGGTACGCTATGCCTATTAGCACGATTGAGAGTATTAAGCCAATGAATTACAAGCTTGTGTATGGCAGAGCGGACGGGATACCCAATTCTCTTGAGTCTATGGTCATATGTGATTGTTCTTTCAGTATGGCGCAATATAAGGAGTGTTGAGAAACCCGAATCGAGAGAAAATGTATATTGCCATCTGGATATCCTCCACTGTGCATGTCCCTCTCTAGCATTGAAACCAAAGTTCCAGCTCTGAGTGTATTATTCACGTCCTCCAACCCTCTTACTCAAAATAACATACGCCTCCTCCACCTCCCTCCCATCCCTCAACATCCTCCGCGGCGGGCTATACTCATCCTTCCCATACCCAATCTCCTCATAAAACCCCTTAGCCACCTTATTCCTCGTAAAGCAACTCAACATAACCTTCTCCACCCCAATCCTCCGCGCCACACCCTCCACAAGCATCATAAGCCTCCTCCCCAGCCCAGACCGCCTCAGCGAGGGCGCAAGGTGAATCTCATAAACGTAAAGGACCTCCTGCTCATCTTCGATCGTAGGCATAAAACTGACAAACGCCTCGATAATATCCCCTAACTTTCCCGCTTCTTCCACGTCATGGGGTTTGGAGCTGCGGACGAGAAGGTATTTCAACTCGAGAAGGCGCATCTCTCGCCGTTTGGCGGCGGGTTTCCATCCTTGCTTGCTGGCGGAGTAATCACCTTTGCTGCTTTCTTCTACCAGGGAAAAGCAAGCTGTGAGTTCATCACGGGTGAGATTGGATGAATTTTGGAGTTCGATCGTGTATTTCTCCTCAGTTGCGGGGTGCGTGAAAGACGGCCATGGGGTGCTGTGGATGTTAGTCATGTGAGTCTAGATTGGCAAGGACGCACTTACTCAGTTGGTAAATAATCCTTAATAAAATCAGTCAAAGTCTTCGCATTCGCAACATCAATCCCGATCGGCTTCTTAGTATTTGCCATTCTGCGCGTTCGTATCTCAAAATCCCAAGCACCCGTCCTTCTGTGCTGTTTACAATTACCCAATTCGGCGCCTTCAAAAGCGGTGAGGTAGAGCAGAATTTATAATCTCCGTCATCTGGCTCTCGATGGATTCATGCGATTTGCTCCAGGCAGTTATATGCGCAACCTCCGATTGATTGTTTAGGTTGTGGAGGATGCGATGGATTAGTTGGCCCGCCGCCACGGTTTGTGCGCGGTGCATATGTAATGGTGGGAGTCGCTTCTTCGCCAGTGAAGCGGCACGGCGACCGAAGTCTAGATTTGGGCCAACTCTTAGCTTGGAACATGTAGGTCGTCCTTTCCCAAGTCGCCACTGCTTTTTATTAAAGCCTTGAGGATTATGCGCTAATTAAAGTAGTTCTTACAACGAGGGAAGGTGCTGAGTCTATGGCGACGAGTTTTACGAGACACGAGGCGCATCGCCGATCTTGAGACAAGAGCGGAGACAAGAAAGATGGCGAGGGATGAGTTTGAGCGGAATAAAAACGTGAAAGATATTGTGAGTTTTACATATCTAGTCTTTACCAATGGGAGGGGTGGGTGTGGTTGGTGAACGAGTGGGGGGGAAGTCGCGACACTGCCTTCTTTACTTGGAGCTGTCAAACCCGACATTGGAATTATTGAAGCTGAAGCTAATGATGGGGGAACAGTCACAGATCAAATACCTCATATCAACGGGGAAATCACAATGGGGTGCCACGGAGCGATATGTCGACGGGTTATGAGCTCTCGTTAAACCTAGGCCCATACGAAGCAACAATCCGCCGCCAGGCGCAATAGCCATGGAGTTGCAGGAGAGCGGGTGGATATTCTGGACACGGAGTCAGGCGAAATAGGCTTCAAGGAAGAGAACCCATAGTGTATAGAGCGGTTTTGTACATATTGTAATATATCATACACTTCCCCAGTCCGTCCACTTGTCTATCCCACCCCAAAACGCCATAAATGCTATGCCTCCTTCACATCTGTATGTCTTACAACCCTTTCTCCCCCTCCAAAGCCTTCATTACCCCCCCCCCCCGACAGGACCAATACGCATGTCGTCCACCAATTGCCCGTCCCGCCTCCTCAATAACAGTATCCAACACCCAATCCTCCACCCCAACTCATCCCTGGCGCTGCTTATGCTTCGGGTTCACCGAGCAGATGATATACACATGTCCCTTCCCTTTCTTGCCTCCCTTCCTCCTAACGGACTATATCTTATTAGCCTCTGCCTCTGCCATCTAAACCTATAACCCCAGCTCCCGCCGTCCGAACCAAGCAACAAAGAGAAACGTTTAACGTACCTTACACCCCTCACAAAGCTTCTTCACCGAACTCCTAACCTTCATTCCCCTAACCTGCTCCGTCACAACAGCCATATCCACCCCCTTCATCGCCACAGCTACAGCAGTAGGCCTCGTCGTCGCAGCCGCTGTCTTCGCCAATGCTACGGAAGAAAGCGCTCGTGTGGGAGCTACGCATTTGCTGAGTGATGGGCGCAGCGCAACGCGTGCGGAGAGGAGGAGGCGCGGGAGCATTGTTGGGTTGGTGGGGATGAGAGAGGAGGGTTTCGTATGTCGCCGGGCGAGTGTGGTGGTTGTAGTTTTGGTGGGAGGTGGTGGTGAGGATGGGGAGGTGGGAAATTTGGGTGGTTGTTGGTGCCTGTGATTTTAGGCTGACATGGCTTTTGGGAGGGAACTGTAGCAACGACAGACGGCTTGGGCTTATGAATACTGGTGTAGTTTGGAGTTTGTAAAAGGTGTTTTTGATGGGTGAGATTATTTAATTGGGTTCTATGTTTATTAGTCTCGTTTAATGCCCAATTGATGGTGGCCATGTCTCAATGGCTGGATACAACTTCGGCCAGGGGCATAAAAATCCAACACAACTATTTCACACCCAGTCACACACCACATCCCAAAATCAAACCAATCTATTACATATAATATACCCAACCTAACCTACACCTCCCCCTTCCTCCTCCTCCACCACGCCTTCCCCTCCTTCAAAACGCCCATCACAAGCGGCACCCCCATCGGCCCCAAAAGCGGCAAATAAACCGCCACCCGATGCTCATCCGGAAAGTACACCTGGCCCACCATACTCTTCTCAAAGAACGCCCTCTCCGCCGCCTCCTCCGCCACCCTCGCATTCTCTAACCCCGCGACCCCCCCCAGGCCACTACACGCGGCTTCAAGGTGTGTAAGGGTGGTGGAGACGCCGTCCGCGACGCTGCGCGGGATGGAGATGGAGGGGAGCGCGAGGGTGAGGCGCGCAAGGGAGCCGAGGGTGGAGGAGGCTTTGAGCAGGAGCCCGGCGCTGCGGACGCGCGTTAGGGTGTTGAGGCGGAGGGGAAGGGTGAGGGATTCGGGGGCGCCGATCAGGGCGAGGAGGTGGGTTGAGAAGGTTAGCATTGCGGGGCGGAGGTCGTCGCTGGCGGGTGTTAGTATATTTGTAGTTAAAATGGGGATGGGCGAGGGGGCTTACATGTTAGGTTGGATGATGACACCACCCCATTGCGGGATGAGCCAGCTCTTGCTGCCGCCTTCGACTTCCATGTCACCGATGTAGATGATGAAGTTTAGCGTTGGAGCGCCACCGATGCTGGGGCTTAACGGCCACTCCGCGTGGTTGATGAAGCCACTCAAGTCTTCTTTGCGAAGGACATCACCCGTCACGCCGGTCTGGGCGTAGAGCTGAACTTGCGTGTCAATTGTGAAATTGCTGATCGCCGAAAAGCTATCCAGAAGGGGCTTCATGTGCTCCTCCAGCGCTTGCTCGATAGCCCACGTTGAGGGTGTGGCGGAGGGCGTGAAGAGAGAGAATGTCAAGTGGTATGTCCGCGAGTACTTCATCGAACGGGTGGACCGCTTGGCGAGTGCTTCTGCGACCTCAGGGGCTAACGCCTTGGGGCTCCGTTCTGGTGGCGACGAGCTGGTGGCGAGGAGGTAGGCAATCATGGCCTGTTCTTCGGCGAAAATCTCGCGCAGGTTGGTCGCGATGTAGGTTGCCAGCGGGGCCGAGGAGGATGCGCTCGTGGGGACCTGGTTTGGTGTGTAGTGGATGTCGAGGGTTGGTGCATATGGCTGCAGGACAGCTTCTGTGGTTTGCCCAGGGAGCAGGCGGACGAGCAGTGCAACTTCTTCATCGTTCTGGTTTGCGCTAGGAAGGACGGAAGTGTTCGCGGGGGTGTGTGGGGGTACCTGGTGACCGGAGAGTTGTAGCCGTAGGTGATGGGCGGAGAAGTCGTTGAGGTCGTCAAGAGCGAGCTGTGTAGCGCGTAGAAGGTTCTGTGCTTCTTGGTCCTGCAGAGAGCCGGTGTCGATGGAGATGCGGAGTGGAAAAACTGGCCGGCAAGCCTGCACTGTTAGTATTTGATGTACGGGGCACAAGAATCACCAACGGGGTCAACCCACTCGTCCATCCGCCCAATCCATCATGGCATCCAGGGGAAGATCCGCCCGGTATATAGCTGTAGTCCACCACCATATCGGCAGGCCAATGAAGAGCACAATGGCCCAGAATACGGCGATCACATAGAGCCTGATGCGGATGTTCTCTGGCTTCTCAGGAGGAGGCCCCTTATTTTTCGGGATTGCGGCCACAGCGTCAGCGGGGGCTTCCCCGTCATCAATGACATGCTTGCCCGTGCGCTGGACAGCGTTTGAAGCCTCAGCTTCGTCAGTCGTGGGCGTTGCCATGGGGGGCTGTCTCTCTATTTACGCATGGTCGTGGGTGGTCCAATGTGAACAACGCGGCGCGGAGGTTGCCGCTGATGGGATTGATTAGATTTGATTAGAGTTGATTAGATTAGAGATGATTAGATTAGAACTGATTAGATTAAAATTGATTAGATTAAAATTGATTAGATTTGATTAGATTTGGTTAGATTAGATTAGATTAGGGATGCTCCTCAAAAAGTGAGCGTCATACTGGGGAATTTCACGTATGCCCCGCAAGTATGAGATGTTTTAAAATGTGAAAGTGCGATAATACGCGTATAAATAAATACCATAACAATACCATAACAATACCATAACAATACCATAACAATACCATAACAATACCATAACAATACCATAACAATACCATAACAATACCATAACAATACCATAACAATACCATAACAATACCATAACAATATCACAACAATACCACAACATACCACATCTTTACCACAACAATTGCTGCACTGCAACCCTCATCTGTAGGGTTTAGATTCTTTCACCGTAAATCCACACAGCCACATACAACACATGCTGTTTTATTACATCGCACGTGAAATTTCGGCATAACATTTCCACCGCAACCGATGTCCCATACATACTATACACAGTACGTACTTCTCCACACTTTTCGTTCATCGTGTTCGGCCCCCACCTAACCGTATCCGCCAATCACAATTCTCTTAATATTTTTGAGGGGCTGCCACAAGACGCGGCACCATAAAATGCCGAGGCATTGGTCGCGTTGGTTTCTTCCCCCTGTACCAGTACGTACTCTTGCTCCCAACTTCCCGACTTTCAAAGCTTCCCAACTTCCTTCCTATCGACGTCGTCGGCGTGACCTGGCCCCAGGCCTTTCTTTGGTCTTGAGCTAGCGCCAGTACACGTAGAGATATATTTTATATACATATACCAAAAACTACCTACAGTACATTTATATATTTTATACCGAGAGCCGCTACTCTATATTTATCATTATCCTCACATTCCTCTCATCCTTGGTCATTGGTCATTGGTTTGGATTACAACATCATAACATAACGCCCTGCTCCAACTCTCGCCCGCTGTGGTAAACCCGGCCTTAATCACTTCAACATCATATAACCTTCTTGAAACTCTATCGCCATGCCTGGTAAGTTGTTCTGCCCCTCCTCTTTGCGCCGCGAGAGATACTAACAAGACAACCCCTCAGCTCCCCTCGCCGTCACCGTCCCAGCAGCTGCTGCGGCCCTTGCCTACTTAAACGCCAAAGGCAAAATCGGCTACGATTACCACCTAGTCACATCCTTCCTCTCCGCCATCTTCCGCGGCAGGTGGCGTCAGTTTAAGGGCCGCCTCTCGCTCTTTTATATTCTTGAGGAAGCTGCGCTCAACCCGAAGACCGCCCACAATGTCTACCTCATCTTCGAAGGACGGCAATGGACCTACAAGCAATTTTACGGCATGGCGCTCAAGTACGGAACATGGCTGAAGGAGCATCACGACGTCAAGCCGAAGGAGATTGTGGCCATGGAGTTTGGGAACTCGGAGACGTTCATGTTCATGTGGTTCGGTCTGTGGGCTATTGGCGCGCGACCTGCCTTCTTGAATTACAACCTGACTGGCAAGGCTCTGGGACATTGCGTCAAGGTCTCCACCGCGAGACTGGTCGTCGTTGACCCGCAATATGCCGACAACATCACAGACGAACTCAAGGGTGACCTCCTGGGCGTCGAGTTTGTCATTTTCTCGCCCGACCTCAAGGCCAAGGCAGAATGCATTGAGCCCCTTCGCTCTCCAGATGAGGACCGCTACGAGGATAAGGGGCAGAACATGGCCATTCTAATCTACACATCCGGTACTACCGGCCTTCCGAAACCAGCAATTGTCAGTTGGACCAAGTGCATTATCTCGTCCGTCTTCCCAAGCAAGTGGCTGAGCCTCAAGCACTCCGATATCTTTTACACAGTAAGTCTCGTCGCAAAAACCTAGCTCCTATTATCCTAACAATCCTAGTCCATGCCTCTATACCATTCCTCCGCAGCACTCCTCGGCACGCTGAACGTCATGGGCAGTGGTGCCACTGTCTGCATCGGCCGCAAATTCAGCACAAAGCTCTTCTGGCCTGAAGTCCGCGCTTGCAATGCTACCGTCATCCAATACGTCGGCGAGACATGCCGCTATCTCCTCGCCGCACCACCGCAGGTCGACCCAGTGACGGGCGAGAACCTCGACCTCAAGAACAACGTCCAAACCGCATTCGGCAACGGCCTGCGCCCCGACGTGTGGAACGCCTTCAAGACCCGCTTCGGCATCGACACCATCGCCGAGTTCTACGCCGCCACCGAGGGCACATCCGGCTCCTGGAACCTGTCGCGGAACGACTTCTCCCTCGGCGCCATCGGCCGCGTCGGTGCCATCGCCAGCAGGCTATTCAGCGGTCAAGCCGCCATCGTCACCGTAGACTGGGAGAAGGAAGAGCCGTGGCGCGATCCCAAGACCGGGCTGGGCAAGAAGGTCGCTGTGGGCGATCCCGGCGAGCTCCTGCTCGCCCTCGACGCCGCAGACATCGAGAAGGGCTTCCAGGGGTACTTCAACAACAAGAAGGCCACGTCGGGCAAGATCCTGCGCAGCGTCCTTGTCAAGGACGACGCCTTCTTCCGCACCGGCGACGTCGTCCGCAGGGACTCGGAGGGACGCACCTACTTCGTCGACCGCATCGGCGACACCTTCCGCTGGAAGAGCGAGAACGTCTCCACCAACGAGGTGAGCGAGGTCATGGGCTACCACGCCGCTGTGCACGAGGCGAACGTCTATGGTGTTGAGCTCCCCCACCACGACGGGCGCGCAGGCTGCGCTGCCGTCATCCTTGCTGAGGCGCCGAGCGAGCCCCTCATGAAGAGCTTGGCGGAGCATGTGAAGGCGCTGCCACGGTTTGCGATTCCGATATTCCTGAGGATCACGGATGGTGGCGGACCGATCACGGGGACGAATAAGCAGCAGAAGCATACGCTGAGGGCGGAGGGTGTGGATCCGGGGAAGGTGGTGGGGGGGAATCAGATTTATTGGTTGAAGAATGGGACGTATACGCCGTTTACGAAGGGGGATTGGGAGGAGTTGAGTGGGGGGAGGGTGAAGTTGTAAATAATTGGGCAGGGAGGGATATGAGAAGAATTGGGTTTTTGTATAGTTAATGTGTTGCTGTATATAGTCCTCTTTGCGATCTTTTTTCACATCTATAGGTAAGTAGATTTTCTGAAATTATCTATGATATATCAATTCCTGCAGCTTAAATCGGTGGTATCAATTCGCAATCCCTCCACAAGACATGTTGGTGGCACAACCACTCCTCACCGCCCACCCATTACCCAATTAGGCAATTTATAAACTTTTCTCAGCCTCGCCACCACCACCAAACTCACATCCCACTTTTCCCTTCACAAAAAAAAGCTTATCATCACGTGTCACGGCACCAAATACAGTTTTCAAATAAACAACCTACGCCTCCCTCCTACCCCTCCAACCACCCCTCTCCACCCTTCCACAAACCCTCATACTCCAGCTTCATACCCCGCAAGCCGAAGAACAGGCAGGATGCCTATCTCCAAGAAAGCCAGAGTGAGTCTCGCCACCGCACCACACCCCAGAGCCGGGGACGCGTATGAACGGCCGAGAGAGATACTAATACCCTCACAGGTCCAGCGCGAGCACAAGAAGGCTGATGCAGCCGGTACCCGCGTCCCCGTCAAGGCCAACGGTCTCCCCGTCAAGGCTCCCAAGGCGACTTCCATAGTACGGCTCCCTCTTCCCTCCCTGCGTTTCTCCTTCTCTCCCTCCCGCGGCAGGGTTACGTTCCTGGTGCCTGGCGGATGTGGCGCGGACGGGCTTATCATGAGAAAAAATGAATGAAGAATGAAACTAACACCCCCCAGTGCGCAAACTGCCGCAAGGAGATCGTCAGCTCGAATAAGACCCAGCTACAGGTGCATGCCGAGACGCATGACCAGAAGCTGTGGTCGAAGGAGAAGTGCTGGCCTAATGACTTTTCGGCTGCTGCTTAAGTGAGTCGAGTCGGCGTGGGAGGTGGTGAGGGTGAAGAGGTATGGCCAACGTCTGGGATGAAAAGTAGATGTGGGATGGGGTGGATGGTGTTTGCTGGGCGGGCTGCGAGGGGAGAGGCTGGCTGGCGTCTTTAATGGCTACTGATATGAAGTTTTACCCTGAGCCTGGCTTGCTGTGGTGTTTTGGCTTTGGTGTTTAATGTGAGCTTGCGGTTATTTGGTTGTGTGTTGGTGAGGTATAAGTGCATGTATGAAAGCAAGTCGCACACATGTCGCACACATCATTTCTGGCAGTCGATCACCGAATGACCGCATGTACGGCATTATTTGGTTTCTGCTGCCATCCTCCCTTTCTCCACCCCGAAACCACACAGGCAACAGCCCAGCCCAGCCCACACCCCCGCTCCCTCCCCTCTAGCACTTCAACTTTAGGTGCCAAAATTTAACATAAAATGGCCAAAAACAGTTACAAAAACATACAACAGTGGCTAACATTCAGCGAAAGAGCTCCAAGAGGCGGTTGCTATCAACGTGGAGCGAGTGACGGCCTTTGATCGGGACGACGTCTGAATACTTGCATAACAGATGGCCTTGCTGATGCTCTATGTAGAAGGATACAAGACCCTGGCCTAACTTTGCCTAAGATGGCCATGTTACCGTTCATGAACGACTTGACAGACAAGGATGCTAGCACACGGGAAGATTTAACAATGATATCCGAAAGAACCAATGCGACGGATTAGCGAGAGGGCGTCTAATTGATGCCTCGAGGAGTATTCTATTTAGTTACATTCCAAACCCGCCTGTCCAGCCTTCATAATCATACCGAATATCTCTAAATCCTGCCGGGCATCAGCAGCCGTCGTTTTAGCTGTCTTCCCCATTGCAGCAAATGCATAAAGTTCCTTCATCTCCAAGGTGTATGCGTCTTCATATGTCCTCCGAATAACTGACTCTCTATACATCCCGTCTTCAAGCTTCTCACGGATGTGCATGGTTGTCGGTAGACCCTTGATGTACGGGGTATCAAAAACGACCTTAACGGTCTTGTGTTCTCCAAACACCTCGATCGACGCATCAAACCTCGGCACCCAATCAATGCCGGATTCGTACGAGACATCAAATGACGGGTACTGAAATAGAGCACTAGTGTAACGCGTAAGCCCAGGGTCTCACGGGAGTCCAGGGAACCAGGTCAGAAGGCAGGAAGTGAGATCGTATTGCAAGACAGTAGGTCTACGTATGTACAGCGACTATCGGCTGGAGGCCTCCTTCTGAGGCTTCCAGCTCCTTATATCCTACGTTCCTACATGCCCTAGTTTACCGAGCCCTAGTGGCTCCACTGCCAGGCAGCCCCTGAGTTCAGGGCGGCCTCACATGATGGGCCGCCTTACAACTAGATACGTTAGTATTAAGTTGATATTAGATGTTTTTCAACTTACCTCCAGAAAGGTGGACCACTAGTTGAGCACAGAGACGCGCCGAGAACTGAGGTAGGCATACCGAGGGCTTCTCTCATTGCACTCAAATCATGAGCACCCAAGCTACCAAGGTGCCGCCATTGCAGTGCGGATGCTGGTGTGACGGGAATGCCGAGCTCTAGTGTGCGTCATGGGTAACCGGTGGTTGCAAACCGCCGGTCTGAAGATTTTCCAACCCAGACCACGGTCTGGGTTGGAAATACTGAAGAAACCGCCCAGACCGACGTGGGCACCCAGCGGTTCCTTGGCAACCCATCACGTGTGATGAATTGTCACACGTGATGGGTTGCCACACATGATGGGTTGCCACAAATACAATCGTTACTATAGTTATTACTATACAGTTACAATAGACCAATATAGTAGAAACGTTTCATTGGATTTCTACTATCTGTATCCTGCTACTCATTTGCCCTATTCCTGGTATCTTCCATCTCTCCTATCTTAGTTGGCCTGGAAATGAAAACCCCGTCATGTGTAAGCGCATCTGCTGGACAAGCTTCATGTCCTTCTGTTGAATTGTGACTCTCTTTGCGTGGATAGCAGCCAGCTGGGTCACTATAACAATTACTATAATGATTACTATAAACGTGTAGACTCACTTACTTTCAAACTCCTTGACAAGTGTAGTTTCTGCAGCTTCCTGGAGAGCAGAAATTGCAGAAGACTGAAGCTGAAAGTCCTCGCGAGGGTGCAAGTCGCTGATGATCTCACAGATAAGTCGCGTGAATGGCGCACGGGGAAGGAGAGGTTCTGTCGATTTTTGGTACTGTTTGATTTGTCGGAGAGCAACGGCTGTTTTTGATCAGAAAGGATTTATAGTAATAGTTATAGTAATCAACTTACTATAACTATTACTATAAATGACCAGGCTTATAACGATGGCTTTTCTTCGCGGCCTTCTTCACAATCTTCTTTCCGCTGATCCCTGAGGTCTTTCTTGGAGCCTTTCCAGCAGTCTTTTGGGCCGGCATCTTCTTGCTGAACTTTTGACCAGGTGCAAACGTTGGAATTGGACCTTTCCGAACCTTGTGTTGTGTCGCTGGAGGGGTCTGGAGTTGAAGGCGTGCACTCTGGCGAGTTGGAGTGTTTGGCTCAAGTGCTGGTTGTACTTGTGGTTGTCATGACCGAAGTGAATAGTTGGTCAGTTGCATGAATTTGTGGGATTGTTTGAGTGGGGCTTTTTTTCCATCGGGCTCGGTTTCAGATTCGGAGCTTGTGACTGGATCAGGGGCATCGTAGGCAGCGTCCAGATCCATGACACTAAAAGAGGGTTACTATAAGTATTACTATAAGATTTGGGTGCTTTACTTACCAGTTTGCCAGCCAGTTGTAATGGTGGGTGCACCAGATGTGAGAATCTAGCCACCCAAGGAAGGGATGATTTTACTAAGACAACACACTGTCTTAGGAAACAGAGCCAAAGGGTCGTAGCTTAGACTATTCCACAACGCAGCAATCAGGTGTGTGATGTAGTGAAGTGGTTCAGACAAGTTGCAACAAATGTTGAGTCTGGGAACTCAGGGGTAAGTCAGAGGTTAACACCTCACTGACTTTTCAGAAACAAGGAGTAACAAGATGAATGCTTGGAAGCTTGTAAAAGACGTGGAAGTATGTGATAGTCGATTTACTGTATTGTCTGCTTGCCCTTTCTTAAGGAAAGGGCAATCCTATTTATGCCAAAGGAGTGTAGTTCTCTCATTTTCCATGGCTTTCCATGACTAACCAGGCTTGGTAAATGTATTAGAAATCAAGTGCACCCACAACTAGCTTGCTAATCATGTAGTGAACGTAAGAGAATCCCATAGAACCATCTCTTGGGTTCCTAGCCTATAGGAAGTGAAAAGGAGGTCCAAGGTCAGAGTACCTATAGATAAATTATGTCATAACTTAACCAATCTTGTGGGTAACTAAGGAGCGATGACGTGTAATGAATCATAGAGGGTTGTAGAAGCTTCTAGAGCTATCGTTCATGTTCCTAGGCCTCTAGTTGGTAGAGATATGCCATGTGGTAGTATTGGCCCACCCCCTTAAGGAGGAGATTTTCTTAATAACTTGTTCAATGAGTGTCCAAATGATATGCCGTGATGTATGTAGCATAAACAGATGTAGTAGAAGAGTTTGCAGCAATCGTTGAGTAGTATTGCTTCTGTTGTTGATGTGATAAGCCAAGATATGTATGTTGACTTGTAGGTTTGAGGAGGAGATTTCTAAGTTTGCTCTTGAGTTTGATAGCAAACTGAGTGCAACGAATGTCAGTATGACACCAGTAGCAATTCACATAGCCATGTTGATCTGAAGGTCGGGGGGGTGTTGTGTAGGAAAAATAAAGGTAGGGTGAGGTTGTTGTTGTTGGGGTTATGAGCTAGCTCACTTAGTAAAATGTCTTCAGCTTCACTTTTTGTATGGTAGTAGGCGATAAAGGTGAATTCTCCCACAACAATAGTAAGGACAACAATAGTAAGCGACCTTATTGACGTGTTTTACCCCACAACAACAACCTTCTTCTTCAACCTTCTTCGTGAACCCCCAACACCCCCAACACCCCCAACACCACCGACACTTCTAAGATCAAGGAGGTAAGTCTACTCAATCCTTTCTACTTACTTTATAGTAATTGTTATAGTAAGACAGCCACGATGGTTGGAAAATGAAAGAACGACGACGAGAAGTCGAAGAACAAGAATACCCAGCAGGTCACAAAACACCGCAACAACATGAGTGAAGTTGAACACAGAATCGACAACGCCAAGAGGGCAGATACAGCTGCTGTTTCATATGCCTTGCGAAATCTCCGGGCAACTTCTGAGTTCAAGAACCTCGACAGCCAAGCTCAAGAACGTCGAGTAGAAGCCAAAAAGACCGAGGTAGCTCTCAAGCGGTAAGATCTATTCCTATCCACTGTTATAGTAATAAGTATAGTAACATAGAAACAGTGTACGTGATGGAAAGTATGCAACTGTTGTTCAGCAACGTCTTGGGATTGGTGAGGGAGGCGGGGCATATTCTCTTTGGGACGATGAAAACATTGCTTGGGAAACTGAGGATGAGGATGATGAGGTAGTGCAAGAGGCTATGTGGAGGGAAGATGAGAAGGCCAATGGCGTTGATGATGTTGGAATTCAGAAGATCCAGAGAGAGATGGTGGCACAATCTGTCGCTACAACCAAGGTATGGATGAGAACCCATTACCCATTACATTTGAGCTTTACTAATATAATATAGAAGGTGGATCAGTTGGGATTCTCCCTCTGGTGCCGAAAGTGGAGGGTTGCATACTAATCAATGTTACGACTAATGAAGAAGGTCAACACAGACCCAGACTTCCTTGAGAAATTGCCCCCTGCAATTGATCCAACTACAGGGTAAGTAACTATAGTAATAATTATAGTAACTAGCTAACATCTCTAGGATCTACTACAACAAGGTTCCGCCACATCTATACTTCTCAAAGACGGAAATGGCTGTTTGGAGAAACTTCACCTCATGGAATCTTGATGGTGACATTGCATATCTTCCTGGGCCAGCTGAGTGGTACCCTGATGATTACGATACTACTCAGCATGGTTTCCATATTGATCTTGATGCTGGCAGAGCATATGAAGCTTGGGAGATGTTGGCTGAAGAAACCGAGCCTACCAATTTCAAGTGGGTCTTGCCATCCGATGATACATTGGTACTGTTGCCTCCAACAAAAGAATCAGAGGAGTTTCTCAGCCAGTTCTACGAAATGTAGATTAGTTTCTTCTTCTACAATAGTCTAGGTAGATCAATACACTACTGTTGATGCTACCACTTCTTAGTTTACTATAAATATTACTATAATTGGCTTATAAGGCTATAGGCCCATAATGTAATGGTGGGTGCACCAGATGTGAGAATCTAGCCACCCAAGGAAGGGATGAATTTACTAAGACAACACACTGTCTTAGAAAACAGAGCCAAAGGATCGTAGCTTAGACTATTCCACAACGCAGCAATCAGGTGTGTGATGTAGTGAAGTGGTTCAGACAAGTTGCAACAAATGTTGAGTTTGGGAACTCAGGGGTAAGTCAGAGGTTAACACCCTCACTGACTTTTCAGAAACAAGGAGTAACAAGATGAATGCTTGGAAGCTTGGAAAAGACATGGAAGTATGTGATAGTCGATTTACTGTATTGTCTGCTTGCCCTTTCTTAAGGAAAGGGCAATCCTATTTATGCTAAAGGAGTGTAGTTCTCTCATTTTCCAAGACTTTCCATGACTTACCAGGCTTGGTAACTGTAGTCGACGTAAGAGAATCCCATAGAACCATCTCTTAGGTTCGTAGCCTATAGGAAGTAAAAGGAGTCCAAGGTCAGAGTACCCCTATAGACAAATTATGTCATAGACAAATTATGTCATAACTTAACCAATCTTGTGGGTAACTAAAGATCGATGACATGTAATGAATCATAGAAGTTCGTAGGAGCTTTTAGAGCTATCGTTCATGCTCCTAGGCCTCTAGTTGGTAGAGATATGTCATGTGGTAGTATGAGTGATGTCATGTAATGAATCATAGAGGGTTGTAGAGATATGCTATGTGGTAATATCGGCCCAGTAACTAAGGAGCGATGACGTGTAATGAATCATAGATGGTTGTAGCAATCATTGAGTAGTATTGCTCTTGTTGTTGGTGTGATAAACCAAAATATGTATAGTGACTTGTAGGTTTGAGGAGGAGATTTCCAAGTTTGCTCTTGAGTTTGATAGCAAACTGAGTGCAACGAATGTCAGTATGACACATAATACCAAAACACGCTACTACCATATACTCCACAAGTAATCTAAAATATTCTAAAGAGGAGAATTCAAGCGAAATAGAGAAGTACGTATAGAATAGATGTAGACCTTAATAAATATTCAGGTTGACTGTTTTATTTTCCTTATAATAATATAATATTGAATATTTTAAAATATTATGTCTTATAACTAATATTTAAGTTCGCCAGCACAACCTTATAGTGATGTATTCTCTCTTGATGAGCCTTTATCTAGTAATAGAACACCTGAGATTGAG